ATATTATTGAATTTAATTAATGTGAAATATTAATTACGAAAAAGCAGCGAAAATGTGAGAATACAAAATTGTGGTAACAGTATTTCAATTAATTAACGGGCTGTTTTCATAGAATTCAACGTTAGCTGTCCGAGAGCACACGACTGTTTTTAATATAAGTACCGTGTAAAATGAAACTGCATTGAAATATTACTTTGTGCCAATTTTTACTTAATTAAATTTATTAAATATGTTTCATACAAAGTTGCTAATTAAATTGATAGACTTTTATTTTGTATGACACGCTTTTCTGTTCTCGTCTTTTACCGTTATATGGTTATATTAAAAGTACTCCTTTGTCTTTTTCTCTTCATAAAATCCATATACTATTCTATGTCGTCTTTTGCAGCCTGATTTTTATCACTGTATAAGAATACGTAAGAACGTTGCCCATTCGTAGTGCCACATCAGACATACTTTAAATCTTTACAAGTTAATAATTACATTTTGATAATGATGGTCCTCTGAACAATGACATATTTTGTCAAAGCAAATTATTAACGATGGCCAACGCGTTCATTAATTTTCCGCTGAAATTGTTGTGACAGGTTATATCGAAACTTTGACTATAGACATACGGACTAGGCAAGGTCCACCGTTATAATAATTTATAGTTATAATATTTTAGTATTAGTAAATTGTGTCACATTTCGCGGTGGGTGAGGTAAAGATGACACATAAAATTTAAACGTCTTTATAAATGCGTATGGATACAAAAATTTACACACTTACACAAAACATGCACACTAAACATTGTCAGCAATTTAGTACTTATTGTTCGTTTTTATTTGACAGGGGAATGCGCGCACTTGACAAGTCCTGTCTAATAAATATCAAAGTTTCGCTACGATGCAACTGCATAGAGTTGCGTGAATCTGACTTACGTCACAACATGTAGCGTTCTCGGAAGTCAAATGACGCTCGGGTGAGGGACACTAATTAACGAATTCTTTTACGAGCGCAGAACACGAATGGTACTTGTGGAATGGTTAGAGCTCGTAGCAATATAGTTTGAAGTAGACTATTGTAGAAAGTGAATTTACGCGAAGTGCTCATTCTGAAAATATATAAGCACATAAATATTGTTCACTTACTTATTCTGTTTGTCACAACAATATTTTCCAACGACTGTTTTAGTTTTTCCACGAGTGAATATAACGGGTTGTATTTTTAATTTGACTTTCGCGACAACTACGCGAATTATACCATAGTATATTTTTAAAGTAAAATATTTGTTTTCTACGTTATTCGAAATATTGTATGATTAAAAAGTAATACGTATTTTATAACATCAGACTGAAACAAATAAATAATTTTGCTTTGTGGCTTTGAGATTGCAATGCATGAAGGGTTATATTATTCATAGCTTAGAAAAAGCTTTACTGGCATAATTTATAATTTATACTTCAAAGTCAAATACATCTGACCCTCACTAAATATGAGATTATTAAAGTTACAAAATTTTCCAGTGCACCAACATGCCGCTGCCGGATCTTATTAAATAGTTAACTCAGTTTGTTAGCTGCTTCGTTATATTATTTGCCTCGAGCGATCTTTGTTGCAACCTTGGAAAGATACACCATTGACTGCTACAGAAATTTAAGGATACTCTGATTAACTTAACTAAACTTAATTAAGTTGATTCTTTTACAACAATATTACCGTCTCGTTCCCTTTGGATAAAACCGTAAATAAAAGGTATTAACGTGTGTGAAGGCTGATGTATGTAAGTTTAGACAATTTTATTCATGTTGTTGAATGAATTCGATTAAATGGAGGGTAAGAAGAAGGGTTACTTGTTTTTAAATAAACAAGTTCTGTTTTTGCTTTGTAAAATGTGGTAATCTTACTAATGTTATGTACCTATATATAATATAAATGTGAATGTTTGAATATATGCATGGATGCATGGATGTTTATTGGATCTCGATAAAATTTTACATAAATGTAGAACCTACACTGAAAGAACTCATAGGCTACTGATAAAGTTTTTTTTTAATACCGCGCGAACGAAGTCGCGGGTAACAGTTAGTCTTAAAATAATTACAGTTATAAGTATAGTATTGATGGTGAGGTTAAATTCGTCTGATAAACAACCTTTGTGAGCTCTTATTGATTTTTATGTGTCGTATCATTTCGGAGCTAAAAATAAATATTTTCCTTCATTGAATATACTTGTAATCGACCACCCACGCTTAATCGTACCGTATTGAAGCCGAAGAAATGTTATATCTTTCATCTAATGATTAATTGGAAATTCCTCTACTTATCCTCAGATGGTGTGTGCTTTGTTCCTATCAATGTTAGCATTCAACAATTAAAATGAAATTAGCTTCAGACACTGTAATCATAGATGACATAAGGATTTCCAACACTAGTATTTAATGTCAACTAACATTATTACTTCAGCCTTTACCAATCCGTAATTACTGATATGCAGCCTTTTTGACTCGTAATAATGAACTGACCAGTGTCTATTTAAGTGTAGGCTACAATCGTTTTAAATTATAGAAAACTTTTTTCAATCGCAACCTTATTGATCTTCAACATTTGAAATAAAGAACGAATCCTAAAGCTTTTAAAACTTTTTAACATCAAATAAATCTTGTGATTTCTGATACTTATTGTACTATTGTGCATGACCTTTATCTATTGAACGACAAGCTGCGCACGGTTCAATCTCTTTGGCATTCAGTGATGTGAAAATGATATATACTTTAAAAAGCGATCTCGCGTAGTCAGAAACAAGCCAGTCGCGCTAGTGGAAAAGGTGACTTAGTATTGTGATGTTAGCGGAGACTCGCCAAGTCGCGAGATATTTAGCGTCGCGCCGGTTCGCTGGTGGGCAGAAGACCGGCTGTGTATATCGATCAGTGGAACGTGTCGCCCGGCTTGCGATCGCGTCGTGCTAACTGACCACGCTTTGACACACACATTACGGTTGTTGTAAATATTACTTAGAAAAAATAGTACGAGGTATATATTTATATGTTAAGCTACGAAAATCTTGATCTTATAGAAAGGTCAATTTTTCCTTTAAATTGTGCTATTTTAATCACAATTATCTACCTCAATTGCACATGTCTTAAGAAATCTGTATTAGGGTAATCAGCTAGCAATAAGAGACTGTTACATCAATCAGCTAAGGCAAGAAGGAATAAGGAAACACATTAATAACTAGTTATATTAATGTTTTATTAATGTTCAATGGACAGCCCTATAGGTGTACTTAGTTGCGGCACAAGTGAAAGCTGTCGAGCACGCGACACCGCATGCCGCTAGTCGACCAAGCGAGATAATCGTATATTATAAGCTGATTAATTTTTACAATGAAAGGGAAAACTAAAGATACTTTATCATGATATTAGGGCTTTTGTAGCGTCTAGATTGATATTTACCTATGTCTATCATATTGATGGTGTGCCAGGGTTATATCAAATTAAAAAAAATTAAAACACCCAAACGTTCTTTACCATTTTATACCTTTTTATCTTATTTGTAATAAGCCTTTAACTTTTTTACGTTTATTTTAAAAGTATTAATTATTTATGTCCATTATTGAATTAGGAGATCGAAGCTTGAACTCTTAATTGTGGTCTCCAAAAGACTTACCAATTTAATTAATTTTATAATACTACTATAGAGGGGGGTGTGTATTAACATCATATATTTAATAATATGAGAGTTAATTATTATTTCTATATGCTCAAATAAATTGTCAGGCTGCTTTCCTGAGATACGTTTTATGCAATAACGTGAAGTTATAAACTTAGATTGCATAATTATCATTTTCTTGCAGGGAAAATATCTAATGTATGCGCCCATAAATTACTCATATTCCGAGAACTAGAAGTCATTTGTATAAGATAAATACTGGAGTTGAAAACTTCAACGGTCCAGTTCTATCCATCTGTATAGTATTAAAGATACAAATATAAAGAACTAAAGACCAGGGAGTGTTATTAAGAGAAAATTAGGGCATAGCAAATCAAATATCACGTAAATATTTTGTTATCATCCGAATTGGAGAAATACATGTCCTAACAAATTAATATTTAACAGAAATGAACTTTTAATCTTTTTTATAGAACAAATCTTTGCTTTCCAAGTCTTAAGAGAGCGAAAAACCTCTGATATTTAATATGAAAGTAATACCCTATAACAAGTCTCGCTGTTTATCGATCCAAATCGATGCTTCGATTCCGTTGATGGAGAAAACTATAGGAACCAGTTATAGTTCACTATATTATTTATGCAAATCTAGTCTGGCATACTCAAGAAAATTATGAGGAAACTTTAAACTATTATTATAAATTATTTTACGTTAAAAGTGCACATTTGACTACTTTAGTTAAGGACTAAATGTAATAGTCTTTTAATTGTTAATAAGAAGATTAAATATTTGGTTTTGTAACTTTACAAAAATGAAACAAACCAAGGGCAATAACATTGAGCACGTTTTTAATATCGATGACACAAAATTGTGACTTCATTCGCGGTGTTCTTTCGATTTGTCCTTTTCCTTCTACGGAATTTCGTTTTCTTAATATATTTTTTTATCCTGCTGTATATATTATTATGTAATATAAACATGATCTGATAAAATAATCCGTAAAATAATATTTATTTTATAAAAATCCCGGCTGTACTTTCCGGAATAGTCGGTGTAGGCTAGAATATCGGATTAAGGCAGTATCAAAAACAATATGAGTCGAGAAATCTCCACTTATAATTAAATATCAACTTCGCTAAAATTTAAAATCAGTGCGATATTATAAAATCTTATAACCGGTTAACCTTTTCGATCATCATAAGATAGAGATTAAAAAATATGTTTGTGAGCTTAATATTTCCTCTAACAATGCAACAAACACAAGTCCGACAAATAAAATATTGTGCGCATACTTTCAATTTTTTCGCATTACAAAAGGAAGGAGTAATATTTTCATTGTTCGACTCACCTTGGGCCAGAGCCGGTACGAGGGCAGCGCTCCAAATAATGAGACGTACACATAGAAGCATTTTACGATTGTCCCCTTTATGATAATAAATTATTGTACGTCACTTATGCATATTATTCTGCAAAGCACATGCACGTACACTGGCACTAAGATCCTTGAATTTATAATTTCCTTCGAGAGTAAAAGTTTCCCATTTGAAGACGATGTATGCGCGGGAGATCCGGGTTTAAGCGGTGAGCAACAGACATGCGCGCGGGGCCGAGTGGACTGGCGGTCGTAGTCGGCACGGATTGTGCTGCCCCCACTTCGCGACCGCCTTTCACCGTTACAATTCGTAACCCGAAACACTGTTGAGCAAGGCTATATGACGATTGACATTCAACAAAAACGCCTCGTTACACGGAAATAACATATTTACAAGATTATTATAACACTAGGAGAAACAGACAACCATCCATTTAACCACGTTTTGATCCATTGTTTCAAGAACCATGTGTTTTTCTAATTTATTTACTTAAATATTGTGATTGAATTCCTTTGAAGTATATGAATCCCCTACTATATTCCAAAGTATTTTGATGATTATATTGGCCTGGTAATTTGAACAGATTTTTTTGAAAATCTTTTTTTTTAAAATGAATAAAATTATGTATTCACAAACCACCTCCTTTACGTAGAGTTCTTATTTTACATAAAGGCATATTCTCTTAATATTCATGATTAAAATTTTGCGTAGGTATTATTAAAAAAGTCAGAGGTCATAATAAACTTATGTTTGTCATTTTTTTGTCGTTCATAACGACAATGCACTTTTTGTAATTTTTTTTTTATTTAATTGGAGTGTGTGATTTAAATTAAGTTATGGGGAAAAATAAAACTGCTTTCTGCGACACATAGAGTTTATTGAATATATTTCTGAATGCGTTTTAAATAAGATTTTTTGTAAGTTTTAACAAAAAAATCATACACAATTTGAATTTTACAATTTTTTGAATTTTGAAGTTTAATGCCATGCACAGACAGCTTCAAGCAGTCGGTTACTAAAGATGTGTTTTGGTGATGTCAATATTTAGCGACGGCAATGTTGCCAACAGTACGCAGATTACTCGAAGCTGTCCGTGTACCGACACTATACACAATTGTTTGGACATTAAATAAATACACAATTCCAATACCGTCTCTACATAGAATGTTCCGAAAAATTAATTTTAACTTCATCTATTTGTACCCTGAATTTACAATTTTTGTAATCTCTAATAATCCTCAGAATTATGTTTATATGTAGACATTAAAATGAAATTGCTCCTTACATCCTGTATCTTGTACAATTTGCTTATTAAAAAAGTGATGGTAATTGTATAAAGATGGAAATATATACCTGTTTTACAATATTTTTCTTTACCTTTTACATTTAGGATCTATGATGTCACAAAATGACGAGATTTCGAGTTAAATCTTATTTAAAACGCAAGGTACATTAATAATAGACACTTATTAACAACTACGAAGGAAATCGTTGGCAAGAAAGTAAGTTCAGTTTGAGACCGCAGATAACTTTATGTCTGTTTCGAACATATCTATGTGGGAGACAAACAGTTAAATGTATAACACACGACAATTGATAATCTCAAAAATGATGAGTTTACTCATCTAATTTACACTGAAATTGCTTTTTTGCCAACCTCTTACAATGTATATTAAACATTCATAAAATCTCTATGACAATATAATTTATATAGTTCGTAACAGAATTTGTAAAAAAAAAGTTTTAAAACTTATTACCACCAGACACAGAGCTTTTTTTAAATATGAAGTTTAAACTTTATTATTATCAACACTTGTGGGTTTTTAAGCGCCCAGACAACGATCAAATGTTTAGTCTGATTTGTTCGATTTATCGTCAAAGACTTCATATATGGACGAGATCGTCAAGCAAAACTGCATACTATCTTATTTTGACAAACCAGTCAAATTTAACGAAAAATTTGCTCGATGTCGGGATGCTTTACACTTGTGAGATGTTTTTACATAATTACAATTACTTCTGTAAAATACTTATATCTTTTAAAATGCAATGTAGTTCTTATTAGTGAATTCATTTGGCTATACATTTGGGACCCTGAATAGGTCTGGTGGTTTATTATATCTTTGGTTTTAAACTTAACAAAAAGAATATAACATGTTTCAATATAACAATATAATATAATATATAACAGTAATATAAATACGCGAATAAAATGATGAGATAAATCATGTCATAATTTAATAATTAAACGCTACCTGATTTTACATCTATAAGAGAAACATTATTAAAAATAGTAGTTGTATATAGTAATATTGATTAGAAGTCTCCAGAAAAAACATAAGGTTTAAAATATACTAGGAATATCTGTATATAAAAATAGATAACGAAGGAAATAGGCGTAGTACCGTTCGCACCATTTCTTAAATCTCAATCATTCTCATCAAAAATATATTTTTATTTTAACTAAAATGGGACTTACATATTTTAAGGAATATTCGTTTATTTACCCATATATCCTGTTTGATGTTACATTTCTGTGAAATATTAAAATCTATGTTCACCTTGTATTTTGGGCCGGTATATTTTTCTATGACATAACAGAGTAATTATAAAAATATGGATTGTAGAAATATATTTGGAGATGTTCTGGGAGTTGTAAAAGTTGTTAAACACAAGATCGCGCGCAAAATAGCTATTTGACATTTTCGCTTTGTGTTAATTCGCGTCTCATGACATAGTCGCACATTTTACTCACCACGGACATCTTTTTTTGCGATAAAAAAATAATCTAACTATATTTTAATAAATATTTTTTATATATATACTTTAAAATAGAAAAATATCTCAAAGGACGGATATGTCCTGTAAGAATGTGATTGAAAGTAAAACATTATATACCACTCTCACGAACGACTACACCACAAGTTAAATAAAAAAGTTTATGAAGACTATAACCGTGAGTTTCCACTACCGAGACACCCGTTCCAAAACTCATTGTTCTCTAAATTTTTGAAATAGAGCGAGTGGGGTGGAAATATATTTCTGGTACAAATATTGCGGTACCGGAAACTCAATTTGTAATAAATGGGATAGATAATATATAGTTAATTTATAATATTAGTAAGGATTAATAACTAGTAAAATGTCAAGAAGATAATATAACTACATATACTAAATTGTACAGTCGAGGTAAGGCAATTCCTAGTCGTTGACGAATTCATAAATTGATCGATTCAATTGATCAAGTATTTGGTACCTTTTGGAATTAAACTTTTAAACTGAATAAGTTTGTTCAATTCGATGACACAATATACGTAGTAGGTAAGTGTATGGCTCGCCAATAATCTGTTCTGTTCAGGCCAATTTAGTTGTTGAGCTACGACTCAACAACTAAATTGGCAGTTCGCAGCTCAATGTGAATTACTTGTGATAATGGGAGTTGACAAGAGACGAGCCAGCCGGCGAGTTGCAGAGCGACCAATCATGTCCTGATCTGCTGGTCATCAATTTTAGTTATTTTACCATGACTATGTGTATGTAATAATAACGGGACGTTTATTGTTTTCTGATATTGTAGTTTTTAAACAATGACAGGAGTTCTGTAATTGTTATTGACTGTCATAAAATTAAATAAAAACTACTGTCAAACTAAATAAGCTGAACGTACATTAATCCATTCCTCTCCCACCCGGCATCGCCCCACACCTGCCTCTCGAAAGCCACGACATGCACTCACCACCACCTCGACGTCGCCGATTGAACGGGATAAAGATATAAATTTGTTATCAAATGAAGTGCACGGCGCCGAATTACGCGGCGCTCAGGTAAATGGCGAGTCGCGGATTTAGATGCGGTTAATCCCATTGTATAGGCGACATCGAGGATGCGGCGATGCTGCGGCGAGTGCACGCCGCGGCGATTTCAAGGCGGATTGTGGCGGGTGGGCCAGGAGTGGAGTAATGTGCGAACCCTAAATTGTAAAAATTCTTGAAGTATAAAAATTTACCGTTTTTATTCCCATTCAAAAACCATAACATCAAAGAACAATACATGCCACGTTATTATAATACATATATTCATAAGTGTAAACTAAAACTGAAATGTTGGAAATCTTGTTTAAGGTGACAAAGGTATTTTTTACCCCGACTGTACGCGTTCTATTTGAAAATTCTTAAATATCAAAGGTTGGGGAAAGATAGCCGTTACTTTTACGTTAAGTTTGTCGTATTACAACCAAATATGTTTAATTAAATATGTGTGTTGAATGTTCGTTATCAAACTTTAATAATTTGTTCTTATTATATCCGTGATTTTATCGTTATTTTTGTATCTTTTGTTTTTATCGAAGATTTTTAAACAGAATGGACCAAATTTCGACATTTTACGAAATATTTATGCAGCTGAAGCCACATACCTAAAATCTTTTTTCCCCAACCCAATACACGCTATTTAACAAAGCTTTCTACTGGAACAACGTCTACAACTACTTCACTTATACTCTAAACATAACATAATCGTTTAAATCAATTCATAAAAGTTAAATCAAAATTATAAAATACACAACAATACTTATTATTTACAATATCTATTTTAAAAGTAAATATTGTAAATAATAAATTTAAAAAATCAAGAAAATTTAAGTGTAAATTAGGATTTTTTAATTGTTTTTAATAAAGCAATTAAAAACATTCCAAATAAAAGGATAAATCTTGACAAAAATTATTTAAGTTAAATCGCGAATAATCGTTATTAATTTCCGAGCCGGATCCATTTTAACATCCAACTTTTTATTATTTAAACTTGCCGCACATTGCGCTATGTTTTATTTTACTGTTTTTCGTGATCGTTTGTCGCTCTTGACTTTCACTTTCCCTTAGCAGATTCCGACATGTCCTGAAAATCATTGTCACTCCTAATGACACTCAAAATGTCTCCTTAAAACTGCACTTAAACAATGTCAAACTTCGACACACTACGCTAATTTTTTTGTGTTTTTTGTATCTACTTTCTTTGATTTTTTTTGTATTTTTAATATTTTTAGTATTTTTTTGTATTTTTGTATCTACTTTCTTTGCATTTTTTTTTTGTATTTTTAAAATTTTTAGTATTTTTTTGTATTTTTGTATCTACTTTCTTTGCATTTTTTTGTATTTTTAATATTTTAGTATTTTTTTGTATTTTCGATTTTTTTAGTATTTTTTTGTTTTTTCTTATATATTTTAACTACTGCGATATAACGTAGTAATAATCATAACTAATTGATTATATTTAGGAGAACCCGTAACTTATGAGCAAGCATCGGTACAGACAGAATTGGACTAAATGGAAATCCATAATTGCAGCTAATCACTCTTCGTTACGAGTCTATATAAATATTATGTAATTATACTAATACAACCACCATTAAACCATTAATATGCAACCCTTCAAGGTCGCATTCAATCCTTTCACAGTCTTCATCCTTGGTCCATCTCTCAATCTCAAAGGAGGGCGCCGAATCAACTTTCCTTTACTTAATGCTAATATTTTTTTGTATTTTTTATAATGCTTTACAAATTGTAACAATTAATTATAATTCATTTTTATGCACAAATGCATTGAATGCATTATTTTTGCGCAAAATCGGTATCCGTTTTCAGAATCGGAGTCATTGTTTAAAAGGTAAACTTTTCTATGCGATTCAAATGTATGTGATAAACTTTAATTGAGTATAGGGTTTTGTAAATAATTTGTCATATACTTTATGTAAATAATCGTATACATATATCGAGATCAAATGACTAGTTGATTATCCCACCATTATTATATAGCGTATATTATGTAACACCATAACTTTGCATAATTTTTATAAATTAATTAGAAGTAGTTTTTAGAAGAGTATAGGGTTATGGACGCACATTTTAGAAAAACGTTTAAACCATTATTTCCATTTCGGAATCTGTTTCCGAATACGTTGCCGTATCGGAATCTGTAGGAGAATACATTTCACAGAAGTAAGATTTTCTATCGTCATCAATATCGACGACCACTTTAACAATGTTATGCTCGGGCGACGGAGAGTTGCACCTGACAGATTGGCGTGTTTGTCGGTGCGGGGCAGACACTCATAATTCTATAGCCTCAGGCGAAGGTGTTCGCGGGGGGCGTGGCTCTTGAGCGGGGCATCTTTCGATAGGGGCATTAAGACCTGCTTCGGCAATAGCCGCACGCCTAGCCCTTCTGTTATTCGAATAGTCAGAGGTTGTGACAGTGGTTTTGCAGAAACAGTAATTGCAGAGGAAACTGTAAGCACGCTGAAAATCTTTACTCAGAGTGCTATAAAAGATGCTGGTGAAAACGGATCTGCTAATTCCTAACCAAGCGTACCGGTAAAACTTTTGGTCGGTCGTATCAGGCTGCCGATAAAGAATTATCAAATAGGGTAGCCACACAATCACGTATAGGGAGAATGTCAACATATTTAAAATAGATCGGCAATAATCGTCGTCGTACCTTTCTGACCTTCGGTAAGAAATTTCTTCAGAGCCGTGTTGTTTCACATGAAGTGTTGCTACTAGCAATACAGACATGGTTATAACGCATGGTACAACATGCAAAAAGATTAAGGTGTATGATCTATAATTAAAACTACCGTAATGCAGTCGCTGACAGTAGTCGTAATCGAGTTCTTCATACACTCCGTAAGCGGCAAATCCGAAACTGATGCCATACACCAGGAATATCCCGAGATTGACGGCCAGGTTCACGAACTTTTTAGTGGACTCTTCTGAACAAACCATTTGGCAATATTGCTCAATCGCTGTTATCTGTTGACAATTAAAATACAACATTCTTGTAATTCTCTCAAACTCTTTTCATTAAAAATAACCTGTTGCATTAAAAATAATGCTGAGCGACAAGACGCGGCGCAATAAATACTATGCGTGGCTGCAATTGACGTTGCGCATAAAATCATTTACTTTCGCTGTTGCTATTTCGCTTACATAAAAAATGTGTGATTCCTTGCGCGAGCTTAGCTCAGTGAGCTTTCAATAAAAATTTAATTAAGTTTAAATTAAAAATTCCTAGGACAAAGGGTATTATTAATTCTAACCTAAATTAGTTCAATAATATCATTTTAAAACTTGAAGTTTAAACAATGATCCCGACGGGAAATAACTTACATGGTGTCGGGATCTGCTGTTTTGTTAGGAAATCCGTAATAAAAATATTCGTGCGTAAAGAGAAAGTAAATTGAACTAAATCTAAACTTATTTTAAAACTTACCAAAAAAAAGAATGTAAATGAGTAGGCCGCTGCCTCAGTTACGAACTGTACAGCGTGGCAGACATCTGGGTTGTCCAATTGGTCCGATAATAGGGTTGCCGCGCAAGCCGGCATGACGACTAGGCATATTATTAAGTCAGAAGAACCCACCAAGGCCAGGAACACATTACCTGTTTACCCAAAATGAATTGCATTACTCAATTTTGCTTTATTATTTATTGCTGTACATCGTCTGCTTCGAATTATTAAAAAAAACTAACTATGCGCTGTTCCAGAGTGTAATCTATCATTGTTAGCCATTCTGTAATTCCGGTATGTACCTTATCTTATTTTATTGACTTTCGCACTTATTAATATAATAATCCCTCTTATTAATACATTTATATAAGTAAGAATTAGGTACATAAGACAATTGGAGACTTTGGGTGGATCGGATCTTATATGTAATCATTGATGTTTTCCTTTTACATTTTTAAGTATTTTTTAAATACTTGATAGTGAATAGAGTTTAAATCTGTATCATCCTGATCAGCTTACTATATGTTTCCATTCTTGGAGCCTAAAATAAATTAGAGGTGAGGTTATGCCTTAGTCAACCACGCTGGCCCAGTGCGGATTGTTTGACTTCACACATATGTACATATTTGAATCTCTTCTCAGATAAGTGCAGGTTGCATCACGATGTTTTCCTTCACCATAAGAATGTCGGCTAGATGTACATGTGTAAAGAGAAAATATAAAAATACCAAGGACCTGCAGATTATAAGTCGAGTGAGCTACCGAGTCTCTAAATCTGTGTGTAAAGTCAATATTTTTTTTGAAGGGATATACATACTTCAATTTGAATTTTACTTATTCTGATTTTGAACAAACACTTAAATAGTTACAAATGGAGGAATTTCGGTTCAGACTTAGCGAAAAAAATTGCTTTTAATTGTTTGTTAGTTATATTTATTAATACTGAAGAGGCGCCGGCGCCGGTGTGATTCAGAATAATATTTAAGTTCCAGCCAATTACATAGTTTTTTTTTAATTCAAGCCATCTATCGCTGTAAATTGGCAGAAAAATCAAACACCTGGCATGAAGTTCGCTCTTTTTAACGAAATTCGATTCATTCTATTATTTTATTACAGTATTTTCGCGATTTTTAATATAATAAATAATATTATAATTTCAAGTCTTCCGCTATAATCATTTTGATGAAATTTGGCACATATATAAATCATAGTCTGGAACAAATATTACACTACTTATTAATTTTATTTCAACCCCGGACCGAGTCGCGGGCGACAGCTAGTTACTGCATAATAATGTATGTTGATTCAGGTAAATAAAATTGGAATTTAATTTACGTTTATCCTCTAGCGATTATTATGAAAAAAAAATATTATTGAAAATCGACCATAAGTCAGGATCAAAAAATGTTTCAGTATGTATTCATGATAGCTTTATACTCTATCTTCACTTTCATTGTATCAAATTTCACGTCTATTTGTTCACGCAATTTCCTTATAATCTCACTAATATAATATCCGAATGTTAAGATGGATGGATGGATAGTACATAGTCTGGAAGAACACATAGGCTACACAATATATTTTTTATTTCCACGCGGACGGAGTCACTGGCGACAGTTTGTAGATGAATATTAGAAAAATAAAATTGTAATTGAAATACTAGCCTAGAACAAAATCTTACCTTTCCGCTTCAAATTTTTCTCCACAAAAAAGGAGCAAATGAAAAATCCATTCATGATGGTGCCAAAGATGGAAAGGATCAGCACGACTATCAAGCGTACTAATTTAGGCCACTCTTGGTTCAGCGCTAACGGTGAATAAGTGCGGTTAAAAGCAGCCATGGTGTCGTTGACCATCGCAGTAGCCAAGAGTGTCGTATTGTTTCCTGATAAAATAAAATAAGGTCACAAACTGCATCTTAAACTTTACACAAATAGGTTTAAAAAATATGCCTTAAATATATTTTATCGAACTACTACTTTGTATTAAGCCTGAAGCATGAATAAAAAAGTCATCCCCTTGAAACATGCTCATTGTAAAATAAGTTGTAGTAAACATGATTGCCGCCTGGTCCACCTTAGTGAGGTAAAATTAATCTAGGATTAGCTCGTATGTAGCCATATCAAGTTCAAATGCCGCCGCTAGCAAAAGCAAAAGTGTGCTTCATTTTGTATCGACAATAAGGTGAGGGAATATGTGGGGTACCATCACATATATGGCCCGTACCTTTTGCCAAGTACTTTAATAATGGAAGATTTAAACTATATAGCGCCTCGTGAAAACAAGTGCGCAGGAGTGTGCCTGCGCACGCATCCCTTTGCGTTATAACCGACACAAAAAAAATTCTGTCAGCATCTCATGCGAAATTGAGAACCGCCATAAAGTTTGGATTCCACAGTAGAATCCAGAATCGTGATCCAGAATAAAATAGGTATAACCTCTAATATTGCATAAATTAGACCCAAACATTTGCGTGTTCGAAAAATTTTCCGCTCCTTTTATATGTATTTATCATAATAATAATACTAGGAGGTTTCGTAGCATAGGAATGTGTGTATTGCTGCCACGATGCATTTCTAATGCATATTTAAACAAAATGAAACTATTATATAACTTTAACAGCGTTAAATAACGCAACTGAACTTTTTCAAGACAACTAATGCATAAAGGGCGATGTTACGCGCGTTCTAAACTTAAAGTTAATACTTACTAATCATTATTTTTTTGGTTCATTGTTATAAAAAGGGTAACATACTACTATAAAAAGTAGAAGTGGTGAAATTATATTAGCTACCACTTACCCAGCAATGAGGCTTAACCTCGCGCGCTATACAATATTTAAATGCTCAATTATTATTGCTGCAATGCTGTAATTATTATTATATATATATATATATATACAACTTATATATATATATATATATATAAGTTGTACCCATTTCCCAGAAAATTTTGTAAAAATGAATAAATATTGTTACAAAAGGTTTACCTTTTTTAACTGTTATTTTTGCATTTATACTATTACGTTATCCGCTAGCACGAAGCAAATGTATGTTATCTAAATAATATCTGAAGATAAATAAATAAAAATGAAATAGAATAATATATGAATATTTCATTTTGATATTTCCAAGAAAAAAGTTTCGTTTTGAATGAACTTCTTACTTGTCGTCTAGACATTACAAACCCAATGTGAGCATGGAAAAAGACAAGAAAGAGTATAAGACAGGATAGCTTTAACATATTCATTGTACAACCTCGCATTGGCTTAAAGTGCGCTAGCGAACATTTTTAAATAAAAAAAACATAATAAAAGTTTACTTGGCTTTAAGACGGAAAGAAGCAGTTGCAATAAAATATCTGTTGCACAAGTAGGTACGCCAAAAAATGTTCCTTAGTAATACGCTGAGAAATATTTTGTTCCTGTCACCATTTGTCTTGAAAAAGTCATTTAATAATATTCATTTTAATTATATTGGAAATTGAGTGGATCCAATAAATCCACGTAGCACTCTATACCGCAATGCATTGCTTATTTTGATGTTTGCGACTAATTTACTACTTCTACTTAAATTAATTGCATATATTGACTTTCCGCCGCCGCCGCCGTATTTCTTTCTGAAACGCTGTTGACTTCTATAGGGTTTTACGAGCCAATCTCGAACCCTTTTAAGTAAGCTATTTTTATTTAATATTTTAATCTACTTCTTCAACTTTAACAGTATGTAAAACTGATCTATTATATATTGTTTCGAGTAGAGAGGAGATTGCCAGCTTTTTTTTCTCATAAACCCCTTCGTACTTTTACATTTTTTTTTTGCCAGTAAAGAAATGAAAGCAAGCTTCAAGCTTGCTTTCATTTCTTTATTCATCTGGATCTATTCAGGAATCATTGGCTTAGAGGATGATCGATCCCGTTACTTCTCCCATACTTTATATTCGATAGAAAGAAGAAATAGTTAAAATTAATCCTAAGGATACAAAGTAGAAATCATTTAAGCAGCGATTAGGTTCAGCCTTCAGCAGCTGAAACTAAGAACAAGGTTACCAAGTCATTGTGGGTAATAAGTATTAAATGTACAATACGCAAAAAAAAACACGCTAAGATCGAAAAATAATCATTTCAAAACTTCATATGATAGCTCAGCTTCATGTCTTACAACAAAAAAAAAACATGTTAAAAATTATAATAATCACATTATTGTTTTTTGTTTTCCTTACCCATTAATTTGAAATATAGACATAATTTTAAAACACATAGAAAATAAACAATTATTACAATGGTAGTCGTATAATTTTTCTCCCGATTTCTCCTCATCATTTTGAATATATATCAAAAATATTTTGCAATGAAAAATGGTTTAGTTAATGTGATAATATTCTTTTACAAAACAAAGTATTGTTAATTTTACAGAAAAATTAAATTCAGAATTTTAAAATTAATAATAAAAATTTTCTCTTTCGAATATTAAGTAACGTAAAATCTTTAAATTATCGCTTATGCTTTATTATTTTTCTTAAAAATATGACTTACCTGACATTTTGTACTATTTATTAACAACACTAGAACACTTTACTCCTCGTCTTCTTCTTGTTCTTGTTCTTGTTCTTGTCCTTCCGAGAGCCCAAATAGCGCGTACAATATTACCATTATTTGAAATACGTTGTCACAATTGAAAAATATGATCATGATTTTAAATTAACCAAAAATAAATGAATAAGAATATGATTTTATAAAGATAAATAAAATAATTTGTGATTTTTTGCGATCGCGGCGAAGTTTTGAATAACGGCTAACACTTGAGCTCTTCTCTCACTTTCACAACTCGAATGACTAGACTGATCACAAGACTAGACTGTTCACGGGGATAGTTGAGGACGTTCTGATCTGAGGCCGCGGTGGGAGGACCTCGGGGTTGAAGTTGCGCTAAGTAAGATAATTTTGCACTGCGCATGTGCTCATACGACTCTCCGTGCGTTTCAGACAACTAAATCTCTCAACATATCGTCGTTTCTGTCATGACCTTTCACAACACGGAGAAAGCAATAAATTTTAAACGGAAATTTCGGATTCGGAAACCCACGGCAATTTTGCTACGCTGATGGCGACTATCTGGCGGCTGAATGATGTAATCAGGTCAAAAATATATTATATGAAAATAATTGGATATTTTATGAAAACATTTCTTTATTTTGCGAATAATACTTATTTTCATATTGATATTTCGATGAGAAATTATGTCCATCGAATTTTGGAAGCTGTTTTACAAATACCAAGTAAAGCATAACAGAAAATTCATGCAATTGTGCCATTAGGGAATGATAGGGCATTATGGTCGTCCCCCCATTGACGTTGAACGTAAACATCCCCATGTTTACGTTCAACAGTGATGACTTTAGGCTGAAGAGATGATGTATATCAAGAATCCTTTTATTTTCGATAACATGGCGAATCACGTAAATTTCTCCTTGATATTAAGATAAACCATTGTTTATTTCTATATTTTATATTTTTATAATTACATATCTAGTCGGGGGCGACTCCGTGCGTGCAGGATTAAAAAATAGATAGTAGCCGATTCTTAGACCTGTTGAATATGCATAGAAGTTTTATAAAAATCGGTCAAGCTGTTTCGAAGGAGGTAAGTAATTTTGAGAATTTTATAGATAAGATTTTAATGTATTATTTGTACATATGTTTTAATTTATTTGACCATACCTATGTAAAATTTCGGGAAAAAATACGATTTGAATGGCCTCGCAATCTTCAAAATTGTTGCAGCCGATCGCATACATACAAACAAAGATGCATGCTTACGTACCCTAAACTTGATGGAAAATACAATGAAAAATATAATTGAAAAATAGACCATTTTGTAAAATTCAATTTTAATAATTTTTAAATATATTTTATAAGGAAATATAATTAAAATGTAATAAACATTTTATATAGGGAAGCTTTTAGTTCAGGGTGAAATTGCAGTCACCAACTAAATCAAGTTAGTAGTAAGCGGGTGGGGCGCACTCCGGCGGTAAAATTTTGTCCTTCAATCTTGTTACTTAAAATTTGATTTACAGCTGCGATTGTTAAGTATCATAGTATCAAAGTAAGCTATACATTTTAAATATTAATCTTACTTATATTATAAATGCGAAAGTCTAGATGTATAGATGTTATTTAGATTGTTTGTGAAAAAAAAACAAATCAAAGATATGTGTGAAGTCCAACAACCCGCATTGGTCCTAGTCCTCCTTTACTTTAGAGCAGGCTCAGAGTCTCTGTGTGGGGATGTGTAGTGAGCTGATGATAATGAATTAACTCATTTGTGAAAAATCATTACGTTTTCATCAAGTGTTATTAAACCTATGAGTTCAAAAGAAATCAGATGGTGTATATGTGGAGGTGAGCATAATATATCCGTACTTTACGTCAAGACAAATAAAAAGTATCACGAATATATCAGAATTAGTTAGCAGAGAATCAATTCAATTCAATTTCTTCTTCATAACATCCATTAGCGGCGAGCGGGGACTCAAACCCGCACATTCCTATAGTAAGCTGAAATTTTATCAAAGAATGGGTACTCTGTGTTAAAACTTGGTGGGCCAAACATTCGAAAAATGAAACATGTAGCGCCATCTAGACAATATTTTATGCCAGATATTATTTTTAAGCAACGCTTGTTGCCAGCTGTGGCATGTAAACTACCATAGACAGCTTTCGTAAATATTGACACTTAAAAAATTTAAATGTCCACAAGACAATAGTAGGCTCACTTAATATTCGCTATGAACAGTAGTACTGGTAAAAATAAAATAAATTCATTTTTTTTTAAATATTCCATTCCAAATAATTTATATTTTCATAAGCAAAAAGTTATGAATAACATGGATGCGTAGCGTTTAATCTTTGTCTTTTTATCGATTTGTGAAAAGGTATAATTTAACTACTTGACATTGACGTAAAAGAATATAGAATTTTAAATTTTAATAAATTTGTTTAACTTTATACCGTTTTAAACTAAATATACTGTTGTCAGATAGAAAGACTTAATTTATACAAATTTGTCAATATTTTCTTAATTATAATTCGTAATCATGCAAAAGTTTTATTTTGTACTTAATCAAAAATTTGTACATACAGTTGTATATTATGTTTTTTCGGTAACTTCCTATCTTTAATGCTCTTGGCGGTGTAAATTTCGATACGTTTATTTTTATCTATTTGACCTTGTCAACAATTTGTCGTACAATTGTCGGAGTAATTTAAAGACCCCTGCCAAGCCTGCAGCTAAAGAGCGTTAGTACTTGTACGAGTTTGATAAAAAAATTCAGACGTGTTTTAATTTTGTAACAAGACACCATGGAAGAAAATTATGGAAAATTCATAGCCAATATTCTTAGCACTTTGACTATACTTTCGTGTCTTTTTCTGAAAGTGCCTCAAATATTAAGTGTGAGGAGGACGAAATCAGCAGACTGCATATACATTCAGGCCATGGCACTGGAAATTGCGGGGTTTGTATTGGTTTTATAATTTTTTTAACAGTATTGAGTAGTAATTTGATATATTATGGATATATATAATGGAGGCCTAATGTTGATCCCCTTTCATATCCCACTGTATCCACGTAAGGAAAGGATGGGATTGGACAGTGGATTTGACAGAAAAGAGGTTGCATTGTATGGTGTAATATACTCTTTCTGTGTGTCCCCTCTTCTCTCTATTAAATGTAGTCAAAGACAGCGGTCACTTTACTATTTTAGTAATTGGCTGCTTGTATGTTGGCCACATTATGATAAAAAAAATTGATAGTTGGATATTCTTGTTCATGTTTGACTTTTTATGAATATTTCAGGTTTACAGTAGTGACATTGTACAATTTCACAAACAAGTACAGCCTCATGACTTACATGGAGTACCCAATTATATTAATGCAAATGTATATCTTGCTATACTATGTGCTGAAATATAAACATTTACTTGGGTCATGTGCAGTGCCATTTTCAGCACTTGTGTATTTCCTTACTGTACTAGGATTTGCAGTAGACTTTCTGCCAAGAGATATTCTGTACTTCCTTGTGGTAAGTAGCTGTCAATTTCATGTCTTGTGTATTTCATTTAGCAATATTATCACAGATGTTATTGTTTTCTTAATTTACATCAGCAACATATCTTTTATCAGTATAATTTATTTTATAACTAGCAGTCGCCTGCGACTCCATTGTGCGGATGAGGGAGAGGTATTAAAAAACAATTAGTACCCTATGTGTTCTTCCTGAAACATAAGCTTTTAATATATAACAAATAGAAGGATCACTGAGGGACACTAAAATATACGATAAAATTGATCAGAGATTGATTAGAACTTTTAGGGAGAAAATCCAAAAATGAGCCAGTGTATTGACTTAACACTACACAACACTAGCATTACTAAAATGTCGAGGTTTATGTAGCCTATCTATTTATACTGACACTGGACTTTGTAACGAAAGCACGTCATTTGCCCAAAAGGATTTCAACTAATAATGTCAAAAAGCGTCGGTGGCTCAGTGATCAAGCACTTGACTTGCAATCTGCAGGTCCTGAGTTCGAATCCCGACATGTACCAATGTGTTTTTCGATTTCCGATTTATGTACATTTATCCGACGTTCTTACGGTAAAGGAAAACATCGTGATGCAACCTGCAGTTATCTGAGAAGAAATTCAAAGATATGTGTGACGTCAACCAACCCGCACTTGGCCAGCCTGGTTGACTATGGCCTAATTACCCTTAACCTAGGGTAGTCTCCGAGCCCCTCGGTGGGGATGTATAGTGAGCTGATGATGATGATGATATATGTCTAAAAGTACAAAGAAGACATCTTCAACACTAAGATTATATTTAATGTACAGTTGGATTCTTTGACAATATCACATTTGAGTTTTAAATTGTTTTTCAGCCGTTATGCACACCTCTCAGTGGATTCGCTAAAATATCATATATTTACGGAATGATTAAAACGGGCAATGCTGATGACGTTTCTTTGATAACATGGATCATATCCCTTACTACTAATTTGTGTAAGTAATAGAATAAGTATTTTGAAATAAACAATTACATTGTTAGATTTGCATAAAATACTTTCCTAACTAACATTTTTTTGGTGAATGTGACGAATGGTGACTTTGATTATCAATTTACGCAACAATAAAAATATTTGACATAATTCAAAAGCAAAGAATATGTTTTACAATGAAATTAAGAGAGAAACCTGTATAATTGTAATTCATTTGGGAATATTTGTTACTTATTACAATTTAATGTGTAGATCATTATTTTCACCACCGCCACACCAAAAACAGACACAATGTTCATTCACATATAATATGATGATATTTTAACAGTGGTAGAGCCCGCTTTAAGGTCTTCACGAATTGGCCCTGCTCGCCCTATGAATTACCACGACCAAACAGAAGACAGGCGTCAAGTGGAAGCAATTCTGCGTTTCGCCTGATGAGTGTGTGTCCCGGAGGCCTAATTTAGTTGTCTATCCCTTCCCACCCTTTTTCTTAAAAAGAAAGGATGGGTAGTTGAAATAGACTTTCGGGATGAGAGGATGCATGGGAAGATATTTTAATTCTGTACATCCTCTCCGTCAATTATAGGTAGGCAAGGCATATGCAATTGCGTATGTCTATGGCCAATATTTCATAAATGTATGTATATTGTATTAACTATATATTTTGTATTTTCCAGCACGCTTGTTTACTGTATATGTGGACTCGGCGGACATAAAGCTGATGACCAATTTCTTAATATCAGCATTCCTAAGCTGTGGAGTTTTGTCAACTGCAGTTTTCTATCAGAAACATTGCTCACTAAAATTACGTTGCACTAAAGGATTAAAATCCAAAAAATACAAGTAGACGGTTACTGTCTTATTATGATGAGCCAAATTTTTGTCTATTAGTAAGTATGATTTCTTGATTAACCAGTAAACAGTGAAATCCATTGCACTGAGTCTTATATTAAAATGTTGTCATTTCTTACTACTTACCCTTTGACTTAACAGACTACAAGATACATATCAGCATTACAACAGTCAAAAAATACATTTTAAATTGTTTTTTTTTTTAATTTAAAATTATATTGTTACAGGTCATAACCAATTATCTGTTCTAAATTATATGAACGAAGTCTTGTAGTAACATTATAGGATTTGTAGTTGTAACTGGTATAAATATGTACCAAGACAAATGTCTAAGAGGCTTACTGTTTCTAATACACATTTGTATTTCTCATAATAATAATGAAATTTTCTCCCGCTGTTCCAAATTTTTTTGGTGATATTTTGAATTAAATCAATGAATATTTTAAAAATTTCTAAAAAGATTGTAGCTAGTAGTGGGTAAACTTGTCTCGAATGTAGTTTTAGACTATTGCCTAGTGATTTTACTGTAGCTTGTGTCATATTATTCTTTACATGTTCTGTATTATTTTTATTGAGTAATTCAAACCTCTAAGCTATTGAGGTAATTCCAAAATAATTTGCACAAGTAATGTAGTCATTGATTAATGTTCCTCAAATAGGTTAAATTTATTATTTTTGTTATTTATATTTTTATAATTATTATTATTAAAAGGTACTTTATTTATTAAATAGCACTTAAAAGACATGATACTTGAAATGAATCTTTGTGTTTGTAGATGGTAGAGGATTTTCTATCTTAGTCATTATTGTATGTCTAGTCTTGTTTGTCTTGCTCACTACATGTGAAAGACGTAAAGTACAATGTATTTTGAGCCAATTTGGAAAAATTGTTAGTAGTAACATTGGTTGCGTAGTGCCAGAGTAGAGTAGTACAAATAGAAAATTAATTAATCGTAGTGTTCGTGTATTTAAATAAAAACAAATATATTAATCAGCAAAATATAGAATCGTAGATATTCTTTATTGCTTTTGCACAATATGTAATCGAAATGGCTTGGCATTTTAATATGCTTAATTAAAAATCTCTTATTAAAATACTACAATGTTATGTATGTCATTTGATCTGGAATATGAATGTAATATTATACAATTTCCAAAGTATTATTGGGTTTTATTTTTTATAGTAATCTACAAGCGTACTATTCACTAGATCATACAAAGTTATAAAGTTGTATTTATATTTAACTATTTAAAAATTAATAACAGACAGCATAGACAAATTTTTCTTACATGATTCTATTTATTCTATTCATGAGTATTGTGAATGTTGGAAGATTAACTTGTACTTATATCGATACGGTTAAGTAAATCTGCTCTGAAACCTCATTTTATCATTATTATACTTGGAGCTTATAACTCAGTCATCACATCGTTTCAACATGTAGAATCTATTTAAGATTTTATGTGCCGGAGATTTGCAAGGTGATGTTTCCGGCGATGACGTATTTATTTTATCGTCGATTATCTCACTAAGGTGCAAGCGCCTTTTCAATGTTTCGTCCTTATCAACGCTAGGACATTGTGTTTTATTTACTAATAAGTGGGGGAAAAGTTCTCTCGGGGAGCTGTGTACAGATGAAGACATTGGTTGGGATGGCGCTGTATTATTAGAAGCGAGATTGGGTGATGCTATGTATGATGGCTCACATCTGTACACGTTATGAACTGCATTCGCCACAAAACTTTTCACTTCGGGTAACGCTGGTAGCTCTTCAGGTTCACTTGAAGGATAATCGCCAGCCCTTGAAAGATTCTTTTCTATTTGTATTCTGCCTTGAGGTTCTTGCGCGGCATAGCTGGATCTATTGCCTAAATATTTACCTTTTCGTCTTGCCCTGGCTTTAGCAATATCAGCAGCGCTCTTTGATCCGTATAAATGAAGATTTTGGTCGATGTAATTACAAACTGCTGCGGCTTCTTCCTCCGGTGACAAATGAGCATCTCGAAAGAAGCCGTATCCATTACGCAAATCATTTATACCTTCGATCATCAACCATCCCAAAGTACCAAGAACTAATAATATGGTTGTGAAAATTGCTAGTATTGTTGTAGCATCCGGCTCTGCCAGCTTGTACTGGAGCTCTCCTATAACACCGTAGGTCACAATATTGCGTGTTCTCTTCATTGTATGCGCACGACAAGTATAGAAACCCCTATGGTAGTTTGGCGCTGTAGCGATGAGTCTCAGTACTTTACCGTCATCAACAGCTTTTGCTGAATTTTTCTCTAATATACTATTAATAGCATTATCCAAGTAAAACCACCAGGCCTTGTTAGGTGTTCGTTTAATTCTGGCGTGTAAACATGTCAGATTTAAACTATTACTTATCCCCCAGCTAGTTTCATAATAGAAACCAGATATGCTCGATGTTCGAGAGGACAGCTGTATTTTATTATCTTTTATTCGTTCCACTCCAAAACTATGAAGATCTATAAATTTGTTATTCACTTTTAAAGAGGCTATAATACCTGAATACGATGTTACCTCTTCGCTGTTAACATTTTTATATTCAAGCGGTATATTCCCGATAAAAAATTCATCGTAACACAAAATATATGTAGTATTATTTATAATATTGCTTAAACTATTGTTCTGCTTTATATTAGATACATTTTGATTTGGTCGTATCGAAAAAAATGGGTAAACACTATGTCTTTTGTTAGTTGTAGAGAATGTTAGCAAGACATGGAGCCGTTCCGATGCATTTATAATAGTTTCAATGGTCCCGCTTTCACTTTGCTTCGATAACATAATATCTAACCATTGGTCAGGTAAACATTCTGTTGAACTGGTAGTCTCCGAACGAAAGCCTCGTAAAGATAACTTTATTTTCAGTCTAGTATTAGTTAAAGCTATACAAAGCCAATCATCGTCCTGGATTCCTGGAAGAAATAGTATAATTCCCACGTCTTTCTTGGGTTTCAGAGTTAGTTGCAAATTCCATTCGTTTTGATCATCGAAGCAAGGTAATCTTAAGTATTGATCGTTTTCCAGATAGAGAAAAGCTTCTTCTATATTTGCCTTTTCATAAGCTATATTTGAAGCAGAAGTGGGGACAAAGTCGGACCTAGTCAATCTATTACGATTAACCATCATGACTAAAGGTATAAAATTTACAATTAGTTCTTGAATGACTCCGTGAAATTTTTCACCAATAGTAATAAATGTCATTTCATCTGTTAACTCTGGATCACAAGGAAACATTCCATGTATGGGCATTTGAGCATCGTTTATTCTAAGGGAAATACTCTCTTTATTGACAGTGATCATAGCAGAATGCCAAGCGGCCGGCTCCAAAACGAAAGTTGAACAGACGCGAAGGGGACTGCATGACTGTGACAATCCTCTGGCATCCAAACATATATACCACTTTTGTAGGCTTAGTCTTACCAGAGGATGAGATATATCTCCTCGTCTTATGAGTGTACCGTGAGGAGAAAGTGGCATAAAGCGAATAAAAGAATGAAATAATGTTGACCGTTTCTGCAGAAAATCATATTGTATAAAAGAATCTCCATTAAATAAAGCGACGACGTGTGAAAATACATCGCAAGGCATCTGGTGACAAGGACCTTCCTCAAATTTAGGACCTACACAATTCGAACCTCCAGATGGCATTGGCCGAGTGCATGACCGAGTTCTGAAACGCCTACCAGCTCCGCATGTTTGTGAGCATGGACCCCATATGCCCCAGCCCGACCACCCCCCATCTAATAGGCATTCCTTGTTTTTACAAACTTCCATTTGAGCATGTTGACCTCTACAATGTGTACCCCATTTAGCTGAAATATGGGGCTTTTGTTTCTCAATGCATACCCTTCTTCTGCGTCTTACACCAATACCACAGTTTTCGGAACAGGACGACCATTCACCCCATTTGCTCCAATTACCTCCTGTATTTTCTCCTGTGTAAGTATCATCGATAGCACATTGATCGCCTTCACAGTCTTCAAATTGTAGAGGATTTCCAAGACATATTAGCCGATCGTCGGACGGTGGCGGAGTATCGCATTTTCTAACTCTCCAGTGAAAGCCTTTCCCGCAAAGTGAGCCACACGCTGACCAAGCTCCCCATGGACCCCATTCTCCCACTACGGGACATCCTACATTATGTTTAACGCATTGCAGAGCATTCCATATAATTTCAGGGTTTAGCTGCCATGTATTGTCTTCGGCTAAAGCACTTTCAATGTCATAAAACGTGCATTCAACTTGAAGACATCGCTTCATTATGCTTGGTACTGTTTCTAATTGTCGCATAGCATCGGTTCTAATGGAATCTCCATTTAAACATTTTCTAAAATCATCCACTACACAGTTTGTTAGATAACAAGATTCGATTTGTTCATCGGGCCCACTACATGGTATGCCTTCTCTGGATGTTGGTGGATTATTGCATTCTCTTGTCCTTTTTCTATATCCTACATCGTCGCAAGTTCCGTGACAGTTGGACCACGAGGACCAAGGCGACCAACCTCCATCCACCGGACACTCCGGTTCTGATATAACACCTAATGCACATTCAAGTCGCCAAACAGCCTGTTGTTCTTGGGCATGGGGCTTTTTATTTACCACTTTTTGGATACAATAAATCAGTAGAAAACAGAAACAATAATATTTCCTGTTATTTACGTAAAACATATTTTGACATATAAAATATTTGCTCTAACTTGTCAATAAGGTTATGAAATATAACCTTCTTGTTGTAATAAATTATGCTGTGTCTACCATAATATTACAATTTATATTTGTTTATTTTCATATAATAGTACATATATGAAAATAAATAAATATAAATTGTAGATTATAGAATACATTTTCTTATTTTCATATATAGTAATATCCAGTTATCAAGGAGATTATGAATAAAAAACAGACATTGATCTGTTATGTAGCTTACATTCATCTTTTCGCCCGTCCCACCTAATGATTTATTCATTCAGCATAAATTGTAATATTTGAAACATGAACAGTAGAATGTCTATATATATACTTTGATACATGTCTACTATAATGTTTAATCCTTTGCAATCAAGTTTCAACCCAGCCCAGTTTTTAACCTAAAACCAACACAAATCGCATTTCATCCAATTAGATGAGTGTATGAACATTTTATTCCATACCTGTGCAAAACAGATAAAGTATTTGCTTGTAGCAGGCGCACACACATGCCTATCAGTAGCACTCAACAGTTGACCTTAGACTCTTGGATTCTATAAATAAAGTAAATCACTTATTTAGTTATCATTATTATAGTTTAATGTTTGCCACTCTGCCACATTGAGTAATTAATGATCACTAATGTAGACTGATTTTGATGAGAAAGGCTTACATAAGGGACAGAATCAATAACAGTCATCAGTTTCATATTTTTAGGTTTTTGTAATGAAGAAAAGAGTAATGTGTAGTTACACAGATTAATTTATTTATTATAATATAATATGCAGACACTTTTTGACTAAATATATGGTGACAAACAAGTACATATTTGCTTATAATGCTACAAATTTATCTAGCCCAGTGAGATCAGGAAGCCAAGATACGGCAAGACAGCTGCTTTTGTTTCATTTTTACCACCCGGCCAGAAAGTTTGTGGTACTATAAATGTGTTGCTCTGCTTGTCCTCCTTGTTGTTACTGCATATTATTAGTGCCTTCACTACATAAAACTTTTATGCTTTTGTTGACTATCAAAGGGCTCTTGCTTCGAATTGAGTTGATCCCCACTTGCTGCATTTGGCATAAGTGAGAGTGGCGCAGCATGAGAATGATGTTGGCCCTGGGACATGGCGGCAAGAGCTGGCTGGGGTTCGCTCATATTCAATTCTTCGTTGAACACCATGCAGAATTCGTCCACCTTCTGTATATCTCCAAATTTTCCAGAGTACAAGGTAAGGGAGCAACGCCACAGAGCCGCATAACCACGAGTAAGTCGTACTATGTCTCCCGGCTGCAGTAAGGCACCGGCTTCATCCCATACAGAAAAATTGATCATGGCCGTTGGATCCGCAACTCGCAATATACGAATTTCATGTCCCTGTTTCGTTAATATAGGTGGACCCACCTCCAATACAATGAAAACGGAGTTGATATTCCTCATGCCAGCTTTTATGTCTTTTATTTGAACATAATCTGTTGCACTCATTTTCACTAATTTCAACAAGTACTAGGTCCTGTAGCAAATATCAAACCAAATATTGATTTTTCCTTCGCAGTATATAATCAATATAAATACACAACTGCTGTATATCCGCATCCGGTTTGACCACTCTACGGATCCATAGACTAAAAAAGGGATATAGAGGATTACAGACTCCTTTTCCTTTACTTTTTCCGTTGGAATTAAATCAGGTACGCAAACACGGAAAGTCCATTTTTGCAGAGGGTTTGAACGTTTATTACAAAACTTTACCCAAAAGCAAAAGACGAATTTATAATTATCGCTTAAAATTTATCGTAACAAGTTTTAGTCTTTGAAAGAACTAATCTATGAATCCGTCAAATGTCAAAATGGAAATCCAAATAAGATATGACCTAAAGGGTCTATGTTACCATGTCATAAAATAAAAAAAAAATCAAAATGAAAAAAAAAAGTGAATCGAAAAAAATTAAAGAAGTATAAAAATAAAAGTACAAACTGTACACTGACTGACAGACTCTGTTATTTTCCGCGAAGATCAAAAAATGGAAGCTCCATTCCTTTTTTGCTAGTACCAGGATCAGTACTGTGTACAAGAAATATCCGCAGTAAAAAGATCCATTCATCGCGGTTGTACTAGTAATCAGCAATCCCTGCTACTCCGTCGTAAGAACGGGCGAGGCTCGACTGCCAACAATAGGCACCTAGCTCCTCTACCGACATCTTGTCTTTCCGATAAATCTATGCCATTCCGGAAATACCATTAAACAAACATCTTTGTAATATTATTAAAATTATAACTGATTATTACAACTTTAGATGAATTATATATTTACATAGTTTTGCAATACTCACAAAGTTTTTCATTTTTTTAACAGGTATAATGAGGCATGAGATAATGAGTGAAAAAACAGCTTAAAATAAATGATAAAACTCATAGTTTTTTTTTATTATTAAAAAGATTTTAATTAACCATTTTATTTCAAAAGTTATATTTGTTAATTAAAATATTGAATATATTTAAGCAGAATCACAGTTTACAATTAGTTATCAATCACAACAATTAACAAGCTTTTTAAATATTTTTTACAAGACAAAACATTGAAATTATCTTATACTTATCATTTCAAAACAAAATAACATTTAATAAATTAACACCCAATTTTGGGGGTGGTTGTATGCAAAGAATATAGGACAATGCAAAAGTAAAGAGTAAGCATTAGCATCTATGTTAGAAGATACAGAAATCCACTGTTGTAACCAATCCTTCATATCTTGATTGGCTAAGTTTCTAGTGTTCAATCCTCGTATATGACATGCATTTTTTAGTGCTTCCGTAGTTAGTACATCAACTCCGCCTTCTCTCTCAATTGCTCTGTCCATTTGTAACAACAAGAAAGCTCTGTATTTAAGTTTTTTTCTTCTGAACAAACTTCTTCGTATGCCAAGCATTTTAAGTAAATGTCCCTGAAAAATAAATGACTTGAGAATCAACAGCGCTAATAATAAGTCAATAATTTACTTATTAGCAGTACTTCTTTTATTATAAAGTCTTAAAAACAAAAAATCTTACCATATGTGTATAAGACAAATATGCTAAGTGGTACGGTTTTTTACAGAACAATTCTTTACATGCCAATACTTCATTGACTGATGGATGAACTCCAGATCCGAGTAATGCTAAAACTCTCCTCCAATTTTCTTTCACTTCACTATCAGGTATAAGTTCTAATTTAGCCTGAAGACATCGAAGAATTGGGCGATTATAACGAAGTCTTTCTTTCAAATCTTCTACATTGAATTCTGCCCGTTGTTGTATAGACCAGAAATGAGAGCTAAGCAACTTTTTTGGTTTCATTAAACTGTAAAAACAAACATTTATCAAAATGTGAAGGAACAACATGTTTATCTTTTAATGTGCTGATGCTGATTTGACTTGTAGCCAATTTATGTAATAAATGTAGATGTAAATAAACAATTGTGTATTAGCCAATAAAAGTGAAAACAACATGTAAACAACTATGTAATTGTTTTCCTTAGTAAAAAGTACACCTTAAAAATAGTAATGTGTAATTATGTGAGTTAATGAAGCAAGATGCAAACATATGAATGAACAAAAAAATGTACAAAAATAACTTACGCTAGTGGAAATATTATGTAATTTCCAAATGGTAAAGCTGAAAGTATTAACACAGGGGCTATCCGCCACATGTCCGAAGGCATTTTCACAAATAACTCTATTTCTTCGCGTGTCATATTGGAGAATCCTTGGTCTTTTGTTATCTTTAGCCTAAGTGAAATATAGGTTTTTAAATCACTTAAGAAATCTTTGATACCTATACTAAATACCCTGTACATGTGTATAGCTGTTGGAAATCTATCTTGTAATAATTTTTTATAATTTTTGACATAGTTGATATATCTTTGTACAATATAAGTGCGTATTTTATCCTTTTCACTCTTGAACGCTGTTGTATGTTTTAGTCGTTCGTTCGTTAGATGTCTAAAATAAATTATACAAATAAAATTAATAAAAATAACAGTATTTAGAAATTAAATTTCAAAAAACTAAGAAAATAAATACCTGTTTAAATTGATTAATTGAACTTTAGTAGTTATAACCGAAGAACGATTGCATTGTGATATTAACCTAGAAACCGATATCATTCTATGGATAATCATATTGTATTAAATAAGTGTTTTCTAACGAACTAACGATTATAAAACATCTTGTGATATTGCGCCTCTTAATTCCGGTGACTGACAAGTGACAGTGATGACAATGTCAATTAGATTTATACTTTACAAATGACAATTTTAAACATGACATGACATTTCTGTAATCGTTGGATTATAGTAAATACACAGAGTATTTTCTAATCAATGTTATTTGTGGCGATTATGAACTGAATTAATAACAATATTACAGACTTTACTTGACTTTACTCCATATTACCGGCTAATGTCTACTTAATCTTTTTTTTTACTTTTTGTATGTTTGAACGAGGAAAGGAATACGAGAAAATAGGGTTATGATCTTGAATTTTATGCGAAATATTTGTTTCAAGCATTGACATAATGCTATATAGTTCAGTAACGCCCTTCTGTGAATGTAAAAGAGTATCACTACATCTTTTTCGAATTGTTCCTGATATGTACTGATCTGCTTTGCGTGGATAAGTCTTTGCTTGGAAATTATAGCTTTTGCTTCGTTTCCACTTTAACCCACTTGTTAATTTTATTGACTTTATAGTTAATCTATCTTTTTATTACTTGGATTTATCACCACAAATTTTCTTTCTAAATTCTTCTAAAAGTCGTCCATGTTGCAGCTCCTAAGAATTGGAAACAAATAACCTGTGCGTGTTCAGTCACTTTATAAGGCTGTGTCGGTTTGGCAATACTTATAGTAATGATATTTGATTCTTTAAACTCCGTGTTCTTACTATAAAGCGAAATAAAGCGTTATTGAAAATAACTAATTAAGGGAAGTCTCAACAATGAAAATTACTTTTTATATGCTTTGAAAAGATTGTAACTGTTAAGTCAGTTTGAGACCAAACTTTTTCTATTATTGTGACACTGTGGTGACTTGACATGACATATGCAATTCGCTACATCGCGATACACGCATGGAATCCTCTTGATGAAACTTCACATCTACAATCGTTGCTAAAAATGTCTATCTCATTAGTTCATCAAGCTGCCTCGCTGTATTCATCTGATGCCAACGTATAGACGTCTTATTATCTTAGCAGCAAGAGGTCAATAAGTGGTTTAAATCAGTGATAACCTTGAGACTTGCGTGATAGTCTTTGACATAAAACCTGAATCACCTAGAGTTAATTTGACATAAAATAACGGAGCGATTTCCGTAAGACATTTTTCTATTACTAAAAATATTTTCTATGTTTGTGAATCATAATCCGTTTGTTTTCTAATGTTTTTTTTCCTTATTAATTTAACAGTAGTATGGAATGCAAAGCTGCGTGTCAAGCTTGCAGTAAGTGTATCAGTCTAAGGAATGATCTCGATTTAAGGAATTTGGACATGAAGCATAAACATTACAAAAATGAAATGCTTAGTATTAATAAGGTATTTATCTTGTCTTGATCTCCATATCAAGAAAATCAACATCATGTACAATAAACAGAGTCATTCACAAGTGGTACACTTAGATTTTTATCTATTTAGGAGTTTGGAGCGAAACTATATATAATATGTAACTTTGAAGCTGTAAAACTTGCTTTAGCTTCCAAACTCATTCCTAATCTACTGGACCGATTTTAATAAAACTTCTGAAAACGTCGAAGAAGGATGTGCCCGTTAAAAACTTCGATAGTACGGATATTATAGGAAGATAACTAAAACACATTTGTTTTTGTGGAACAGGAACATGGCAGAAGTTATCTGAGTGTAACTGGATACGGTAACGTGAAGACATGTGAATTAACTAACAAAACGAGTATGTACACTGTATTCCTTCCACCCGCCAATTAAAAACACACAGATCTAAAAACGGGTTTATAAAAGTTTTAGATATATTAAATTAATGATTAAAATTTCGCTTCTAGATCAATATCCACCAAAATGTGCATTATGCAAATTAATATTGCCACAAATCCGGAACCTTGTGAGAGATATAAGTATAATTAATATACAAGATATTCCTGGCATTTGCAATCATTGTAAAAATATAAATTCCACGCTTCAATGTGAAAGATGCGACTATATTTTAAGAAGTTACATGCAAGAAAAAGAATGTTATGTTGATCATTGTAATAAAGAATGCCATGAAGTTATAGCTCGAATTAAGACTTTGTTATCTGAGTTCGAAAAACACGAAGAACTCATGAAATTCAAATCCTTATCCTTGGATAAACTTTTAAAATTCTTGAAGCCTTTAAAAAAACCAGTAAATGTCCAGCAAAAAGAAACGCAAGCAACAGACGGCGGTATACAAGCGGGGGCTCAAGGTTTTAAAAGTAGCTGTGTTTGTGAAGATTTGTTAAAGAAGTTACAAGAGAAATTGGCGACATCTGATTATAAAAATTATGGCAAATCTTTTATAGATGGCAAAACACCGTCGCATGAAATATCTCATGAACCATTTGAGAAAACAAATAACATTGAAAACAAACAAAATTATCGAAAATCGTTTGTTGGCAAAAGCAAAATACCATCACGTGACATATCTCTTGACCAAGTAGAGAGAACAAAAAACATTGAAAAGAAACATAAGTATAGAAGTTCGTTTATTGATAGAAAAGTACCATCACAACCCATAACTCATGAATGGTTAGATAAAACTAAAAAACATGAAAGAAAACAGAAAAAGGAAGAAGTAACTAAAATGAAAGACAATAAAGAAGCTGGTGATTTGAACAAAAGAGATAAACATGAGTTTAAAAACAAAGTAAAAAAATCCGAAAAAAAACTAAAAGAGGGTGTAATAAACAAATTGAAAGATAATAAAGAAGGCTTTGGTTTGACTCATAAAGACAAACGCAAACCTGAGTTTAAGAAAACACTCGCAAAGAATGAAATAGAGCAATCTAAGCGAGATAAGAAAACAAGAAATAAAAAGCAATCGGATAACCTAAAGGAAAATAAATATGAAATTGATGCAAAAAAAATAAAAGTACAGAATAAGTCCCTTGATCAATTAGAGAAAATGATAAATCAACAAAAGAAGCGTAAGCGGGATCAACAATATAATATAAAAAAATTTAAAATACCGGAAATTGGTGATTTGCCGCCACTGCCAGTCAAAAAATTTAAAGAGCTTACGTCTGAGGACTCTGGAAGTATTATAGAATGTGAACATTCTGATAAAGATTTTACAGAAATGATAGAAGGAAATATTATTGTACGTTACAAACGTGGTCAGAGTCGTGTTGAACCCAAAACTAAAAAGCCTTTGTTTTTCAATGTTACTCACGACTTTGGTGACGAAAGTTTGTCTGATATGAAATTAAGATCACCGGTACATTCAAAAACCAAATCCTTATATAAAAAGGTAAATCAATTGTGCTTTCAAAATTGTTTTTGTTATAGTCACAAGTACTACATAATATTAAATTTGTTATAGGATGAACTGTTTGGTAAGTACCGACTTTCCAACAGAAAGTTCATCGAAAATGGTTGGACCGTTCTGCCTACTTTGACGTTTGTTCGTAGGGTACGTTCTCATATTAATGTTATTCTATATTCAAAATATAATATATGTATGTAGATAGTTTTGAATTGTAACGATTTCTCATTATTAAATGATCATTTTAAGGTAAACATCTATAAAATGATTCCTTCGAGCCCTAAATTAGATTGGCTACGGAGTCATAAGAACGAAGATCTAATATTTTATGAGACCGGCGAGGTACTGGCAGAAGTATATGATAACGGTTCATTCAAGTGGTTTTACAGGGATGGAAACGTAGCTTTGGATTTTGTAGACGTTTTTGGTGAGAATATTATACAAGATCTGCTATCAGGTTTTACTTATTCTTACGCGCTACAGTCTACCCTTAATTAAGCACGATGTTTTACAAATGTTTTAAACAAATCAAATTCGAAGAGAAGGATACTGATAGAGGACATTAATACATAAATAATTTTTGAATTTTTTTGATATCTCTATGTATCTCTAACCTGAATATCCATGGGTGAATTAGAGGCGACTGCTAACTACAGCCTGTACATGGCGAACGTAAATTTTGTCTCAAAACTGCATCGCTTAACTGATCGCTTGAATATGCCGAGTGCATTGTGCGTGTATAGTCGCTCTATTTTAAATTTTTCTCAAGTGGAATAATTGTTTTCCCAGACAATGAAACGAATGCAACAAAAGAGTTTGTTGTTTATGATGAAGTTACAAAAAACAAAAGAAGATGTGAAGATAAGATACAAACATTGGCTAGTTTTGACGATACAGGACATGGAGTTGTTTATGATCGTTTTGGATGCACAAGGTCAGTAGACATTGTGAAATTAAGCATTTTTTCCAAACTTTGTAAGAAAGCTAAGAGATTTATTATTTATTATAAACAGTCTTTAGATAACATTCTCAAATGTTTTTACTTCCGTACCTCTTTTTATTTTCTTTGGCGGTAATATCATCACAATTCTAATTGATTTATAGTAATTATTGGTGTATCTTATATACTTGTATACTTACGTCAGAGTGCAGTTTATACTCATATTTTGTTACATTGCATATAAATAAGATAAACATTATGGGTTTTAACAGGATTAAATATAATCAAGACGAAGGTGTACTTTTTGATAGTCACATTGCGTCACCATGTCATTGGAAATGGAATGCCCTTAACGAACCCCCGAAAATTCAGGTTGAGCATATATTTGAATTTCTGGAACCCTTAGACCCCTACATCGAGAATTTAGAAGACGAGGCTGAAATTAGCCTAAAAGACGCGGAAAAACGCTCGCTGCCATGTTCACAAATAAAAATCTCTAACGAATATGAGGATGAGAGAAGAGAAATAGAATTAAATAACGTCATCAGAGAAAAGTCAATGAAAATATTGATGAACTATAAGCCATTTGAAATAAGGTCAAAGATTTTTAAATTAAATGACCACTTTTCTTTAAGACTGCTTGGTCAATCTAAAATATATATTTTGTTTAGAGACGGTAAAATATGTCTTAAGCTCAATGTGGGAATGACACTTATTAGCAACGAAGTATTAGATATAAGAGCCGTGGATAACGACACAATAAATACGCAAGAAAAAAAACTGAAAAATAATAAAGACACTGATTTTAAGGGACCTAATAGTTCTCTATCTTAGGCAATATATTTATATAAGGCACAACATCGTTTCTATTTCGATTTTTTTTAATTAGTAAGTCTGTTTAACTTCTAAGAAAAGTTTTAAGTTACCACTTGTTTTTTTTTCATCTTGTGTTTTCGTTATATACTCAGTCTTTTTAACTGCGCGCGCTATATCAAATAAATTATGTTTTACAATATGAAAATGTATAATTTTTGCTTGTGTCATTGAGGTAAAATTTTCTACTTTATGCCGTAATAGAATCTAGTCGATGTTTTTACGAATCGGGTGAAAGGTTGGGAATTTCTTGACTGTACTATTATGTACACAATTTGAGTTAATTGGAGTTACTTACACGTCTTGGTTTATAAGATTTCTTGACTAGTGTTATCATTTTTCCATTGCGATTACCGTATTAGCTGTATAATATTGCCTGTAATTGATGAATTAAAAGGAATAAAATATCTTTTGAATGCATTTTTAATCTATTAATCAAAATTACACAACATCTACATAGGAAATATTTATGGTAAATGTCTTGATGATAGTTCAATAAATATTCTATGAGAAATTTCTCTAAATTTACTTGGAAAAATTTCTAATCCATATATACTTTGTTTAACCAGAAATAAGGATAAGCGCAGGTCGTTCCCAATGTTCTGACGGTAAAGTTTTAGTAGAAGTTTGTAAAATACCGGACCAAAGTTTCCTTCCTAAAAACTACTTCTAAACAAGAATGCCATCAGCTCTACTTCCTATATAATGAAAATTAGCAATATTAGAGTATACAATTACACTCATTATTATACAAAGAAAATACAGCAAAAATGACTAGAATTCTCTAAATGCATAAAAGCATACATTAAGCGAGTAGATAATCTATTATGCGTTAATTCCATTGATCTGCTTAGCTTGTTGGTCGCTAGTACAAGACAAATGACGTCACGGTCGTTTACGACTCCTCCCTGGCCCTCAAGAAGTAAGTAAGAAGGTCGATCGGCAGCGGAAACACGATGGTCGAATTCTTTTCAGCCGAAATGGTGTTCAGAGTCTAGAAGTAAAGTAATTAATGTTAAATAAACGATCGCGTAGATTAAGTTTCATATTCACATTTTATGAAAAATTCAATTTCAGAAAAAAGTCATTGAAAGCTTTGTAAAAATGTTTAGTAGGTGATTTTCTCCAAATATGGCTAACAAAAGCATGCATTACGTCAGAATTAACGATAAAGTTATCAAGATTGGGGAGGAACAAAAGCTGTCCATACTTATTTTATTTGCCATCTATGTTGAAATAAGACGGAGTGGAGAGGTGTATACTCACATTTCCAGCATTAACCACTGTAGTCTATAACGGTTAAAATTAACTCACTTGCAAGTAGCGCAGTTGCAGAGCGGCAGGGCTGTCACCGATCACTTCGGAAGCCTCGCGAAGTGCTCGGGAAGCCTTCTGTTCTCCCTCAGCAGCAATAACCTTGGCTCGAGCCTCGCGAGCTGCCTCGGCTTCAGCTGCCATCGCACGTTGCAGTTGTACCGGTAGGCGGACGTCCTTACTGTATGAAACACTCTTTACGTTTTGTGGTAAAAGGTCAAATGTCCTGACATCGAGGTCGTAATGTGACACTAGTCAAGCGGTCATTTTGTGCAGCAGCTGTAATAGCTGGACGGCGGATTTAAAAAAATGTTATATTATGAATTGATTTTAGTTTTTTAGTACTGAGTTCAATAGGATTTCAAATTCTATTAGCCTTATGTTGCTATAGAAACATTCAAGGTTTCGGTCAATTTAATAATTATTTTCGAACTTCCTTAATACTTAGTTCTTTTTCAATGTCTATAATTTGTTTAACATTACGTCGCCAATGTCCTAGTTCTCACGCCGTAAACTATGGTTACGTGGTCAATCGATACTGAGACGTGATAGTTTACAATTAAAATTGAATTTGTAATAAACTTAATGAACAGAAGTGTTCATGAAAATAATATGTTTAATATCACATTTTATCAAAGGTCACGGGAATTTTGTAAATGACGCAGATGGTTCACTGTTACGTTTTAATATTTTATGCAATATCTGATGTTTTAGTTTTCATGCATTAGTTTAGCTTGTTTGAAATTTCATTTATTTATGGGATTCGAATGTTGAGCTGAAACTGTGGGACTATTAACATAAAATTTATTCGCTTAATATATATTTTTTAATGTAAAAATAAATAAATTAATAAATACTTACATTTCAACACGTTCGACCTTGATGCCCCAAGCTTCGGTAGCTTCGTCTAGAGCGAGTTGCATGTTTCCAGAAATAGTTTCCCTCTCACTTAGTATTTCATGCAGAGGTCTGGTGCCCATGGTGTTACGAAGGGTAGTCTGGGCTAGGAGACGTGTGGAATGATGAGCGTTCTCCACGTTAGCGATAGAGATGGTAGCGTTATGGACCCGGTAGTACACCACAGCATCCACGGATACGGTCACCGAGTCTTTAGTCAGCACCTGTGTCATCAAGTTGACATTTATACAACTTTATTAGCTTTTTTGTAATAAGCCCCTTGAAATCACAGTTAAAAATAAAACGTTTTACAAGTTTTTTTTAGGATAATTAAGTGGCAAAAATGTATTTATCAATAATACCTCTTGCGGGGGTACATCGTAGGTAAGAGTCCGGAGGTCAACGCGGGCGTAGGTATCAATGCAGGGGAGTATGAAGAAGATTCCTGCAATCAATCGATATCGTAATAATTTTAATCGAAATGTAAAAATTGACAAAGAACACACTCACACACAAGGGTTAACAGCAGACCCACAGCTCGAGTATTTTGACATGTAACTACTTTACTACCTATCATGGTAATAAGACTATAGATAACTTACCGGGGCCTTTGGCACCGCCAGAGAGTAAACGTCCAAGACGGAAGATCACAGCCCGTTCATATTCCTGTACCACCTGTATAAAATAAAGGAATTCGCTACAGCGTTTAAAAAAACAGCGTTTAAATAACAGCAAACGCTCTTAAGAAGTTGTAATGTTATTTCTTAATCTCTTAGATTTGTTAAATATTGTGATGCAGTCCACACTAATAATCGATAGCAGATATAAAGAATAATAATAATCATATATCAGATTAATTTCTTAGCATTAAAAGCATAAAAGCCTCAATTAACTGATAGTTATTGGACTCCGACATAAACTTAACATTTCCCAGATGTAATGAACAGCTTGAATATAAGAGCTAAAAGCATTGCTCCTTGAAATTACCGGAGTTGTTTGCAAGTATTTAATCGCATCGCTAGAGTCAACTCAAAGGAACTTAAATGCGCCTGCATGAACTTTGCAAGATTCAAATTTGTTTTCTTATCTATATTTTTAATATTATTTCACATTTTACTTATTTAGTAATATTTTCAAATACTGTCATTTAAAACATATGTGATTGTAGTACCGACTCAAAGTCTTTTGCGCTTTAATTTTAATTAAGCTTAATTTTATATGAAATACTAACAAATCAAAGACAACGTCCTATCGTTGTCTTTGATTTGTGTGACATTATGTTTTTGAACAAGAAACCCTTGGTATGTAAGCACTTTTGTTCTTTTTTATAGTAAAAGATAAAAAAAGAACAAACTTTTAAATATTCACAACACTGAACAGTTTGTAGTCCGATCCAAAAATAGATAAAACGTTATCCAAGCTCATGTTTGCACTGTCCACCCGGACGTTTCAGAGGATTCGGCACGATCTCGAATTTTCAATTTTATTTACACCGAAATATATTTTATGATAGTGTATCTGAATAAATCGATTGGACTAACCTCATAATTAAGTTTATTATTTTTCTGTATTTTGTGTTGGTGGTAGAAGGAGCATTAATTGATTTTAGATTTTTTTTAAATTTAAATATAAGAAAAACCTTAATTTTTTGCGGGAGTATTGGAAGAAAATTGATATCCAAATAGATTTGCGAATTCAATATTAAGAGGTTCTGTACTTGTTTATGACGACCATTTATAGTTTTTTTTTAAATACTTAAAACCACGTAAACTTTTAAATTGAAACCATCTAAACGATATTCCATGGGTTTCCAAGACCAAAATCTTACTAGTATTTTAAATACGAATGTTTAGATGGAAGGATGCTTGTTAGAAGGTATCTCCAGAATGGAGTCGCGGGCGACAACTAGTCTCTATACAAAACATATCATCATCCCTGTCATAATCTTTCACAACAAGTTTTATACGAGGAATATGGTCTAAGAAACCCACGAATAGAGATGTACTCCTTGTATTGTACAAAATCGATATTCGATAAGTTATTTAAAAAGTGCAGTTTACGTATATTCACAATCTATAAATAGTTCACTTGTTTGTGTTTCATGTTGACAGTGCAACGTTGTAACATTGAAAGCGCCCGACGTAGTCCTTCAATTCAACATGTTGTCAATATTGACGTGGCGAAGGTCTATAACGAGCAAACGAGAAAGCTGCCACTTGAATTCTTCAATATAGCGAAATGACCGTTGTCCATAGACACCTGAATTTGCAGATGTTTTGCCTACCTTTAATTGACAGAGTAGGGGACGCACAGCCAGAGCCTTTATTATATTGCGGCTCTCGACTGTAAGCGAAATGGGATCGCCCCTTTTCAACGGAACCCGTATTTAATTAACGTAGTGCTTTCACAACGAATGAAAACTAACAAAGTTTAGCACATCGAATGAACATTTTTTTTTTCAGGTTTGTACTTTTTATATTTATAGTTTTATTTTAAAGTTTTAATTAGTCGTTATGTGTGACCCTTAGTCTAGATTTCTGATACTAAATATTCACTTAGGGAGACTACTTAATGACTTGTGTGCCGTCTATATATTAGATAATACTGTCAAGAAGTTTATGTTGAGCAAGTATGTACGCGTATGACAACGTAGAAGACACCACAAACATTTTGTTTAGCAGCAGAAACTGTAAAAAAAGTTTTTATTCAGATGTTTCGGCAGTGGAAACGCACACTAAATACAATTTAACGAACAGAGGATATCGCTAATCTTACCAATCAGAAAACATTTGAACATATAACACTCATGATTCGAAAATAGAATATAATTTAATGTGGTTTAAAACGTCTTACACCGGAACGTTTAAATTCCATGAAAGGAGGGATTAATTCTATTTAAAATAGCAGCGAGCAAGTTTTCTGTTGTATACCGCCCTTGCTATTTGAGTTGTTTAATATCTCTGAGAGATAGTTACGACTGTAGATTCAATAAGAAGTACTAAATTATTATAGATTTATATAATGCGCTTCTGCCTACATCCGACGGTAAAAGGTACTATCACTTTCACGTATGTGTAAATAGAAAAAAAATGAGCAGTTGGAACTCCAATAACATTATTACGAAATAAAATAATTATTACCGTATAAAAGTATTTTGATATAGAAACCAAAGTAAAGAACAAGCTAAAGTAACGCAGGAAAAATGCCATTGGCTAGCGCAAGCGTTTTAAAAAATTCCTGAAATTTTGTAAAAAATATCGTTTGTTAAAAATTCTGTAATTTATGAATACATTTGTTCAATATAATTGTTATTGACAAGACTACAGAATTAAACTCGCGAATGCATTTTCAATGTCAAAAAAAAACAGAAAATCATTTTTACTATAACTTACCTTGAAGCAGACGAAGAGAGAAAACGGCATTGTGAAGATGACGAGCACCCAAGATAAGAACACCAGAATCTTACCGCAAGTCTTCGACTCGCTATCCGTATCTTCATTGGCTAAAAACAATAAAGAATATCAAATTTCTTTTTAAACTTTAAAATTTTTAAATTTAACATAACATAAATTAACACACACTTGATGCAATGGTCGGATATAAATGTTGACGACTAGTCATCTCTAAAACGGTACTCATCTTGAAGCAACGAAAAATCAAGTTATGCTCTTCTAAGTAACGGCTGGTCCGCGCGTTACCTAGCCGAGGAATGATTCCTGAATGACGCCAGAGCCACCTAGGGCTGGCACCGCGGACTTGTTTAATATTCATATGGGAATTCAAAGGTGACAAATAGTACACGTAGCATGTTAACAAACAAGGCTTTTTATAATAATAGTACGTATTAAAATTAAAGTTCTACTCACTGTTTGGTTCGTTGAGGACCATTGTGGTTGAATCTGAATAACGAGCCATTATGGATTTAGCTTAATATGGACGTTCGCGCGATTCCACGGTAAGGGTGGCACTGATGCGAGTCTGTGGTTGACAAAGACTATAAGGGCTGTTAACTATTCTGAGTACATGAAGTTTTCATTTGATAATTATTGGGTAATAGTTTGCATAGCGTTTTCCTGTGACCTACTTAACAATTTTTCATAACAGCTATACTTTTCATCGAATCGAAGAAAACGTGGTAATTTATCAATCAAAGTATACAAAAAGTAGAATAATTATAAAATAGTAGTAGAAGAGTAAATTGGAAAATTATTTCTTTTTATAATTTTTAGGGTGCAAACCTTCACCGATATAGTCACAACATCCTAACAAAATTTCGACAGCTTCACCTCTTTAGGAATATGTGGAGGTCAAATAACATAGATTTTAAGAAAGCTTATTAAGATTTAATTAAAAAAAATTATTATATACTTTTATTACTTAGGGTTGTCAAATTATATTAAAAAAGATATTTAAATATAAAACACATTTAATAAAAAATCTTTAAATAACATTATTGGTGCAAGGCTGCTGGATATAGTTCAAACAGAATCCTCTGTTACCAACATCAACGGGAGCTTCTACTCCGTCCGTGTGGAACCAGAGACGAAAAGGCTTCACTGTACCTACAAAAAAAAACATGAAGTCGTATATTAATGTAGCTCGGTTAATGTACCGAGTTCATATAAATATTAATATATAGAGAAAAGTTTTATTGTTTAGTTTTGTCCTCTGAACTTTTTAACAAAATTTCAATAATATCGGCAAAGACGATAAACATACCAAGAAAAATTTCAAATATCATTCAGATCTGTTCAGTTGTCCTGGAGTTACGTAGTAACATCCATCCAAATAATCACATTTATATTGATGTGAGATATATTATTTAAGATATTTATACATAGATTATTAGATATATCGCGGAATTAAAAACAAATCTGATAATAACTATGGCCTACATTCGGCATTCGAGGACAGTGTTGCTGGCCAACAGAAGGAGCAATGAAAGAGTTTTTAAATCGTTTCAGTACTTTCGGAGCCTACTAAATGCAGCATACAAATCTTTCCTCTTTAAAACATTGGTATAGACAGAGATGTAACAAGTCTCTGGAAATATTTTACACATTAAGCAAAAAGTTTTAAAATGTCAATTGCAAAAATTGTTAAGTTGTATGACATATAATCCACGAACCTACGTATAGAGTTTGTTTATAACAAACATACTATTTTACATGTGTTTGCCAAGGAGCTAAGGCTCTTTACATAATGAGATGGCTCCTAGTACAAGTTCCTGAAGCCCTTTAGCGCGTTGATGTCTCCGCACACACTTTCGTTATCCTTAAGACATACACTTCACTTCTTAAGTAGTTATGATATTGAGGTTTTTCATATTTTCAGGATAGTTGCATGTTTATTAAACTTTAACTACGTAGCTACATCGCCGTATATACTTGAGATATTGTAGCTGATGTCAAAATTTTACTGTTGAGCGTAGGCAGTGCTACGCTACTCGTAGCTACGATGACTACGGTAGTAAATAACACATAACGTCACAGTGCTACGTTCTTTTTTTAATTTCAATAAATCTAATATTGTTTATGCTCTCTATATTTAACGTGGAGATTATCTAATTTATGAACCTAACGTATTAATAATGTGTTTGCCCATAAATATTACAATTTTCTTATAAAGCATTACTATCTCATCTCACTTCAAAGATAATTGCCGTAACTAATAATTGCCGTAATTTGTTACTCAAAATGTTAAACATCAGTCACCTTAACAAGATAAATTGTTGAAAAATTTAAAAAATATAAATTTTTGTTTAACTGTTACTAAGCCATTTTTGTGATCGAAGCAATTATATGTAGACCAGGTCGTAAAAACCCAAGAGTATAGTTTTAATTACTATTAAGTCCTCTAGGTCACTATCAATTAACCGTGAAATGTATGTTATCTTTATATGTTAATTATAATGGCCTTAATAAATATATTGTATATGCAAAATAAATTGAACTAGTAATTTGAACTACAAATAAATGGTTGCATGTCCCATATTGTTTGGGGATTTAAACTTAATTTTAAAAAGCTTTGAAAATATTATAGCATTTTATAATACATTTAAATCAGAAAGGTAATGTTGTATAATTAGGTATTTATATTTAATAGTAATAATATAATTAAACCCTTTCTGATTTATAGGTAATGGTGTTTAATAATTATTGTAAATCTAACTGCTACAGTTAGAGAGGCGGAATGGATTGTTAAGTAGTTGCTCAGTGTAGATCATCATGATCATCATTTCACTGTACGTCTCCATTGAGGGGCTCGGAGCCTGCCCTAAGGTGTGACAGAGCGTAGCTACTGCGTACTACATCTACTACAAGTGACGCAATTTAAAAGTTTTAGTGAGGAATTAAGCAAAACGTATTTAGCTGTTTACCCAATTAACATTTCGATATGAGATGTGATAATTGAAGAATTAAACTCAAATGTTAACTGAACGTTATGGCATTTTTACAAACTTGACTTTTGTGTTTCAAAACATCAATACTTTGTTCACATTTGATAACGACACACCTCTGTCCTTGACTAATATGACACTCGATGGACTAAACAACACGTGGACAGGTTTAACGTCGATATTGAAAGCACTTGACTAAATTAAACGACAACTAATAAAGGGATGTCTACAGCTGTTTCGAGTTTTCATTATTTGTAAGATACATACTTAAGACGGTTGCCGATTGCATTGATAGATCAGCTGAGAAAGTTCCTCCGCAAATTCTGTCCGTGCACAAGGCCTGTGCTGGCTGTAATCGGCCAACGTTGGCAGCGCATGGGACAAGCAGCCAATCATTGGCGCAATTGTTTGGCCCAGCCCCTGATCCTATCATGGAGTTCACTGGCGTGTTACTGTTGCCGCTAAGGGTAAAGGCACGCGAACGATTGTTGACTGAAAATAAAGATTTATTAATATGCTTTTTTATTTATGTATTTAGGCTGATGGTGATTGGTATTAAGATTTAAATTTTATAATTTTAAAAATTAAATAAAAATGAATCCAACACCTGGATCAGGGCAAGCTGTGTATTGAATGCCGCAAAAGTTTCTTTCCGTTCGAACACAGATGCCATAGTCTTGGTTGCTGAGCTGCAGTCCCGAAGCGGGGTCGTAGTTGAAGGATCGCAGTTGTCCGGACACACCTGTATAGTACTGAAGGCAGCCTTCGTCGGCTGACAGTTGCGTACAAATATTAGTACTTACATAATTTTTAAACATGATAACATGTAACGTATTAAAGCGGATTTTATTAGAAGACTATCCGTTTGAAAATAGTTGAGTTATCGAGCAATAAGCATACTTAATAAATTGACTGGAAACCCAATAGGTTTATCGACTAATATAATACCATTCCCCAATAACTATTTCGGAATAGAAGGCGTATACATTCTAAATGAAAGATATAGAAATACAAAATCTCTGCGTAGCTCCTTTGTCATTGGTGTGAGTCTATAATTTATTAATCTTGCCCAAAAGTTTTGCCGATGCCCTTATGACGTAACGCGTTAACTAACAGTTCTTAGCAGGTGTACTCGGTGTGTTAGAAGGAAGGGGAGACATCGGCAAATCTTCAGCGCGCAGCTAATACCTTTATATATAGTGTTACAAGGTATTTGTGTCACTTTGACTTTCCAGATTCTCTCGAGTGAGTTGCCACTTGTGACAAATGTTAACTTCACTGGATTAGTGGTCCCAATACCAGCATCGATGTACACTGCAATTAATTATAATATTTTCTATTATCAAATACAAGGCTAGATGTACACAATAAAAATATACTTTGGATTATAAAAATGTAGATACGAAACGATGGTGATGTAACAGTTTTTAGAACTATTAGTGGGTCTTTAAAATGGGTGTGAAAATAATTACAACTACATATCCAACTCATGTAACTTTATTCAAATTGGTAGAGCTGATTTGAATTACCCATTCGACCTATTAGAGAATACCACCAAAGAAAAAAAGGTAATAGAAATTTGACATCATATTTAGAGCATTCTGCAAATATGAGTTGTATACGAAAGAGAATCAATCCTTTGAATATAGCTTAAAAACGGCACCAACTAAGTAGCTATTTTGCTAAGTGACTCTCAGACAAACAAGTCAGGTCACGACACAGGGGACAACTCCAAGATCGCTATACACACGTCCCGCGTGCTGCGACCCGATTGTAAGAATGTCAGTGTGAAAAAAGTAGTCTTATTGAATATCAGACTTTCAGTGGAAAGTTAGATACAGGTTCTATTTCTTTGTCTTCTTTAATCCTAATAAGCAAATAATATCAAGTCGTACAAAACATTGGCATACATTGATTTTAATATTATTTTTTCCATTATTTAAAATACAAACTGCGTTTCAAGAGAATGTAATTAATATTCCAATTCACAAGACAGTGTAAACAGCTACGAGATCACGTGTCCATTTCAGCGTTATGAAACTGTTAATTAAAACGCAACCCATAAACAATCTACGTTCGTTCGCAAATAATTGACCTGTCTGCACGATAATTGACTTTCTTTGTGAAAATAATAAGCAATTTTCAGTCGCCTGTTGTTGACAAACGTATTAGTTCAAAATTATTTAATAGTCCACCACATATTTACGAGTGTAAACATTGTTATTAATAAATAAAATATAAGGACTAACTTGGGTTGGTATGCAGAGGTTAGTAGTATAATTTAGAAACGTTCAAAGGCTAATCCAACACAGCAAAAAACGAAAAGATAAGGTGGCAGAGCATGCTCCTAATTAGGTGTTAATCATGAAGGTTTGGCAATTGTTGAGACTACTATGTTTTGATAGATTTCATTAGATATTGATAATTAAATGTTGCTGTATTTTGAGGGCTATCTTTTTAGTTTTAGGAACGTGAGTAGAATAAAAATACTTAACTGTGACTTCCCTGGTTGACCCCACAAATTGCAGGTACAGGGTTACCACCAGAGACCATGAATTGGTCCTGGTTGCAAACGTTATTCATTGGTTCGGGTCCAGCAATTGTGAAACGATTAAAATCTAATCTGTAGTTATGATACAGAAAAAGTAATGATTAGTTTCTAAATTTTTAAAGGAAATTATATCACAAGAATTATAGGCCGTTTGTAGATCTTTAGTGCTTATATAAGTTAATCAATGATTTGGTTCTTCCAAGGTAACGAATTAAATTTGTCGTCTGCTCAAATACGCACCCACCAAGGGGTTCAAGCTTACTCTAAATTAGAGCATCTTGGCCTTTGTCATAAGTCAAGATGCTCTAATTTAGAGTAAGCTTGAAGGCCAATATAAATACAAAATAGATATTTACCTTATCTGACATACTTCCGGATGTGATTTGATGATTGTTAGTTCACACGAACCTATACCATTATAAGGCGAAGGATACCCGGAGTTGACGAAGTAAGTGCCGTTTTCTGAAGTGCTGCTGCCGCAGGACGTCATAACTGTAGTATAAAACATGTTACTTAAACGCAAACTATTGCCAAATTCCCTTTGAAACAAATATTTAAGTTGATTAACGCTTTGTTTAAGAATTTATTACAAACATAACTTTAGCCAGCGAATTCGACATCGCAGAATTAAAAATAAAACCGTGTTAAGTAAGCTTTGTGCTTTTCCATTCTACGCTCTGAGTCGTTTTGGAGATAACTTCTAACATACATCCATATAAACTTTCGCATTTATAATATTAGTAAGGTAAATTTACTTTTACTTCAACGAAATATATTAATAATGTACTCACAAATACAACAAAGACCAAATCCATTAGCGCAGTATCCGTTAGCCGAGCCCCCCCTCGAGGAACATTCTCTAGCTGTCATACAAGTGCCATTGTCACCTGATGCGCCGGCGCATCCGCCATTAGGAAAAGTTACCACAGTGAACAAAGATAAAACTGTTGAAATATAAATTATATGAATCAAAAATTGGATTCGAACATCCGATTGAAAATGGACGTCTTCGTATCCAGGACTATTGTACCAGGGCTGCAGGAATGTAGAAGATTTTTTTAAAATAAAAGAACTATTTATTATTTTTTACTCTTTTTAAATATAAAATATTGTAAATGTAACAAAATACCCTGCGATTAAATTATACATCACAGTGTAGAAGATCTTTTATCGACTGTAATTGAAACATAAGGTCAGATCTGTAATTAGATTGCTAGATATTTTTTTAGGAATGTAATTAAGGAAAGGTACAGAAGAGCTTATTGAAATGTAAATTACATTTGAGTGAAGCTATTTTACTAGTGGTAAAATTAAATGGTTTGTTTTTGTATTTTAAACTCACATCTACTCTCTTTCTGTACTGGTTGCCATATACTGTGTTCAAATTTTTGTGTATCTTGTTGGCTTTTTGTGAAACTTCTGTTCCTTGTTAACCTTGTGGTGGGACGTCTTCTCATCATCGTCTTCGTGGTCACACCCTCATTTGTGGTCTGGTTGCAAAAGCAAAACTTTAGTAATATAAAAAAAGTTAAAAATAATTTTAATTCCATACTCGAAGATGATGAAAAGTAAAACTTTGTGAGCACAATGTGAAAATGAAATGTCGAATCATATGCTATCTAAATTTATAATATTTCTACGGGAAGGGGAACAATAGTGTTAAATTTCTCTCGTTATTGCGCACTGGTGACAATGAACGCTTTACTCGTCATTTCTATAAACGTTTGTTGGTACATTTCTACTCTGTGCAGTCATTGGAATGTGACGGAGATAAATTTCGCTATTTAAATTGTGTTTTAATATTTTAGCAAGCGTTGCATTCGCGAGAGACTATTTTTAAAACTGCTAATATTTTGAATAAATTGTTTTTTTCTTTTTAATGTGTATTATTAATCTGGAGCAATTCGAAATAAATCAAATCTAAGAGAAAAGAAAAAGAAAAGACGCTGAATAAAAGGCTGATTATGTTAAAAACATAGTAGACTTTATACCTCGTAAACTCTTTCAAAGATTAGATTAGATTTAACATTCAAAAGAACTTTCTATATTTTATTATACTTTCGGATACTAAGCTAGAAGTAAAATGAATGGGGTTATTGTCACAGTTTCGACAAGTCAGAAAGTCAGGATATTTTACGTCGTTCGTAATTTTAAGACATTCACAAACCCAACTAATCATACGAAAATAAAAATAGGGTTTTATTGAAACTACAAGTCAGCCCAAACTTTATTTTAAATTGTAATTTAACAAATTTTACAGTGAATACTTAATTGATATATAATTCAGACAATGTTGGAAATAAATCATTACAGATTCATTTATTCTGTGGGTTTCTACAGTCGAAATACTCGTACAAAAATATACTTGCCATCTCGTTTGTCCTCATTGAAAAAAAAGAGATACAATTATACTTTAAAACAGGTAGTTTCGGCCGTAGAAATCCACGCTAAGTGGTACCTAAAATTATGGTTTATAAGAGCTACTTTAAAATTACTTGTAAAAACTAAGTATCCAGGCTGTTTCCCCCGGGTCACAAAATTAGTAATTCAGTTAGGAAAAATAAAATTTTAACTAGAAAATTTAACAAAAATTATTTCTTAAAAACTAATTATTGATAATAGTATGAGATTAAGCATTAACTTATCATAAAGTGCCAATTGTTGAAACTAATATATAGCCGTTAATTTATTCTTAAATTCTTGACAAGGTATTGTAGGATTAATTTTATAAATAATTATAAAAAGTTTATTATTGTTATTTATCTTATCAAATTGTCTCAAACTATAAAATTTTCATCAAATTAGGTCTGTGCTATAATTATACAGTTTACCTAGTGTTTAATTCGTTCAATGGAGCAATTTGATTTTATATCCCAAAAAAAGAAAGGAGTTATTAATGAGTCGGATTTTTTACAGGAGACATTGAATACCTAGTCCCTATCGGATTTATGTTGATTAAGATAATAGCGACTATTCTAATATATTTATATTAAAATTGTAAAGAAGATACTTTAAATGTAACATTTATGCGAATATCGTCGACATTTAAAAGCGAATTCTACGTTAAATAAATTAAATATTTACTTAGAGCACTATTATCGAGATCATATTTACATAATGAGATCCTTGAATCTTTGGTAACATTGATGACAATTTGTGACAATGATAAATAAAAAAAGAACTCTCGATGAGTTCTTATTTCCTTGACCTATTCTGAAACATCAGGAAAAGATTTCCTGATACCTGTTTCATAATACCTAATACTAACAGACCAGTGAAAGGGTTCATTATAAGCATACTAAGTATAACAATCGATATAAAGACGATGCTAATAACATTTGCTATGTAACTTTCATTATTAAATTATTTAGTTATTAAACTAATTATTAACCTCCATAGTTGCATATTCTATTGAAATTTTGATTTTAACGTATTATAATATTATTTTAGGACACAGATAATATTTTGCAATTAAACTCTACTTAATTGGTAGTATACTACATATTATCTTGCGACAAATGTTGTAACGCCAATTTTATATAGTCACACAGATTACGTGTTTCGTCTATAAAGTTACTATCATTAGCTGCAAATCTAAATTCTGCTTTATCCGCAAGCTTATATTAATCATATAATTCAGATCATTTTAAAAAGGAAAATGCAATTAAAGAGTTTGTTAACTACTAGAAGCGTCGCGCACATTTGCAATACTTTTGATTCGCGATAAATGGGTTATAAGATCAGCCACCCCTATTAAAAGAGGATGCAGGACGCAGATTGTTTCGCAGCCTTGGTGAACTCCATCTCGGCACCACGCGGATCTCATTTGCAGATACACCTTCGTCCACATCATCAGCTTCAGTTCTGATCTCCATTTTCTGAAGTTAAAAATTAGAAAACGTTAACGAAGTTTTATACGTATATGCGCAGTATTTAAACCGAATTTTAAGTTCCGATTCGTAAATTATTAATGTTTAACAGTTGATAGAACGGGTGTACTAAATCTGAATTTAGTTTGTAATAACATTATGAAACCTGATATTAATTTGTTGTACCTTTAGAATTAGAGGTTGATAAGTTTTCCAGAAACCAGAATTAGTTGCTAGTTCCGAAAATTATGAGTCTGGTATATTAATTTTAGATAAACCCATTAATATGTGTATAAAAGTTACTATAAGATGGTTTACGAGTAGAAGTGGTATGTTGTTACCTGCACGATAAGTCTAATCAACATATATTGTTGATTTATTATTCTGTTCATGTTCCTTATTTCGTGTTTTTGTTTTATTAACTCTGATGTGATGATGTCCTCTTTATTTTCCAATACGAGATCTAGACCATCTGTTTAAATAAAAGTTATTGGTAGAAAATCATAATATTAGGCAAGACTATGTCTGATTTTATTATGTAAAATAAAATCAATACATAAAAATGGAACTTTTTTTTTTAATAAAATGCTTGAATAATAGTTGAACAAATTGCCGGAATCATAGGATCAAACCGTTGCCTCAACCATAACATAGGAAAAGTAATTGTCACACTCAATGAATAACCTCGTGAAGTACCGCTTTCCACATAACACGTTACATAGATGCGTATCGGACTGCTAAAGCCCTTCGCATATTTCAGTTTTTATAAAGAGAATACATTTTAATTACCCTTGCGTTTTAATAAAAACATTTGTACATAGAAGCACCTTGAATCTATTTAAACTGTATACAGGTACTCAAAAGAAGTAGTGATCATCAAGCTCAAAACATAATATACTTACTGTCATCAGTAAACGGGTTGCAGAACCATTTCCTCAGTATTAGATCCAAGAATCCTAATTTACATTTATTTGAGTTGGGATATTCGATTAGTTCACTTTTGTCTACTTTTTCCAAAAGCATTGCTGGTAATTTCCGTTCTAATTCAGTATGTAAAACGACCTGTTAGCAAAAATAATTATCGTATTTATGCTTTGTCAATAAAATTGTTAGTTAAATAAAACTGTAAAAGTTTTAATTTTACAAGCATCTGCAAGTATTCAACATGTCGTTTTCATTTAAATGTAATATATGTTGATAAGCAATCAACCTTAAAATTTGCAATATTTTTTGTACTAAAGAAAATTTAAAAACTACATAATTCAATTCTATAAGTATTCTTACTTGCATAGCCAAGCGCTTCAGTTGGGCATTCCTACGAACACTTTCAATATCGCCAACAGCCAAACCAATGAGAAGATTCATTAGGAGAATCGGCATTAGGACCATGAATAAGCCTAAGATAAAGAAAGTTGCCATTGGGAATGGCAAACTGGCGTCGGAGTCAGATCTGTAGTAAGTGTGTACGTAGGTGCCGAGAAAGTCCAGTTCACCGAGCATCATTGCGAATGTTCTCATTATTGACATGGAAATAGTGCTAAAAGACAAATGATTACCCTGGAAAGTAAGATACTCATAAACTAAATTTTATATAAATATTCGCCACGATATCGAAAACCGTTGAATTATTAAGCACTCGTTCACCTTACGTCTATGGCGAATCCTTCAATACCATGATCAAAATAATAAGGAAATTCGCTGAGCCAATTCGCAAAACCAAGAAATCTGACGTCGCCTGTTTCGCCATTGCATTAAACACATTTATTTAACTTTTCCGAATCTATTATCATTAGTCGTTTTAGGTAGATAATTGCCATCGCGTATAATTGCATCACAATAAAGGTATACACAATGTAACGAAGACATATCGCTGCAGCTGCTTACCTTAGACAATAATATATAGAAAGCTAACCCAAAAGCCATGATCAGAATTGAAAAGACCATCAATACTTTTATTAGGGTCTGCAAAATTTCTAAGAACATCACCACGTAGATGCCGACTTGATCAAAACGTTGAAGGAGCAGAAGAAGTTCAAACCATGCCAAAAATATTGTAATAGATGCAGCTGAATACTGGAATACAAAAAACAATTAACGTGAATGCCGTGATTTTGTAATTTCAAAGTTATTTTCGAAATTTAACAAACCTGAATGCTACAATTGCTGGTAAAAACCCAAGGAAAGACCGTCATAGTGGAACTGATGTATAAAATCCAAGATACCAAGTTCGAAGGATCTACTAAGTAATGCCATTTCTGTTGCTTCACATTATAAGCCTCACGAACCACGCATATACTGTTGTATACTAAAATAGCAACTGTACTGATATCCATAGCAATTGTCCTTTGAAAATCTGAAACAATAAAGTCTAAGACTTATGAGACTATAGCTTGTGTAGATAGAATGTTTATAAGTGTAGTTATTTTTAATTTACAATTCTTACCATCAGCGTGTTCCGAACTTAAATTGTCACGTCCAGACGTATTGGCGGAATTAAAATCACTACTCCACGAAGTACATGCGTTGGTGGAATTATTTGAGAGAACTGTATTCGGTACGCTTTCCATGAGAAGGTACGTGTAAAGTGTAACAATTGATAAGAAGATGCAATAGAAGAGCAGATTAGCTACGTGGAAATACTTTCCATAGGAGTTCCATTTCATTTGCAAGTACTTTTGGCTTAGTGGATGAGCTAGTAGCTCCACTCGACCATGAGCTACCATTGCCTGTAAAATATTCAAGAAAAACATTGAAGATATATTGCAGATCAGTTAAAATTGTTTATTCGTAGTGCTGTTTAATAACATATCTAGACAATCACGATAAGCTTCTTGTTCAAGATTGTGGAGTATATTATAACATTATATATAGTATGTGAAGTACTTTATAAAATATTTTACGAAACAAAAACAGAACAATAGCAGATAAACATTTCTATTTAGAAAATGTTAAAAGCATTTGTTGTGTGTTGTGTGATATCATAGATACAAGCGGTGCCGTGTTTTTTGTGTGGTTTTGTGCTTTTTGCTGCCAATCAAGTTATTATTCTAATTATTTGTTAGTTCTACTTATGTTATGGCATTTTAATTTTTTAAAATATTTAAGGAGCACCAAGACAATGCGAGAATTACAACATTGCCAAATTTATATTCCCAATATTTCTGGCTACTAGAGATATGGTGAAAATTGGCTTGTTAAATGTTACTTGGAAGTAATGACATAAATGATAATGATAATAGTTGTAAATGCACACAAGAACATGGACACAAGAGAAGCGTCAGTGTACTAAATTGACACTTCACTCACGTTGATAACATTCAACGGTTCAGGTCGGTAATTTGGGTCGTCGCGCGCCTGTCTCTGCGCTTCAATCTCAAGCCTCGAATACTGGTAGTATTTGAATGAGTATTTAATCTGCAGCGAGCGAAAACAAATGTTAAATTTCTAACTACGTAATGCGTCCCAAAACTTACATTAAGAGCTGGTAATGGAATTTCTTGTGACTTTGGAACATTATCAGATTTTCTGTTTCTTGGTCCTTCTTCGTAATTTACTTGAGGGCATAGCGCATCAAAGTTGTATTTGATCTAAATTTTGCGAACAGAATAAATTAAAATCTCATGAAAATGTCATAAAATTGTATATCTAAATACTGTTACTAGAAAATAACGCTAATTAAACTTTGGAAAAATAAAAAAAACAGTAAAATGTTGGCTTTATGACAGTATGGTTCTTCAATGCGTTGATTTAATACTAAAAATCTTGTACCAGCAACAACATTAAGTATTTATATTGCTTGACTTATAGTATTATAAAAAACATACTGATGAATTGAGAACCTGCTACTTTTTGAAGTCGGTTAATAAAACTATTATACTAAATAAAAAAGGACATTTTAGTAAGGTAAAAGACAAACTCTTGTGAACTCACGTAGAAGCTCTTTGAGTCTTTCTTGCAGTTAGCTTTAGTGATACATTTATCTTGCACTGCTTCGAAAACTCTAGGCATATAAGCTATCAGAGCAAGTGTGACACAGGGATGACGATCGGAACGTAACGCCATTACTTCTTTAGCCCTGAAATATTGAAATGTTAGTCACAAAAAATCATTCGAAAACATGTGAGTACAATAGAAACCCGTTATACCGGAAAAGAACAGGAATCAAAGACTACTCATTTTATATAAATAATCGTTTGATCTGTTTAGAATTTAGAAAGTTCACCGAGCAAGATAACTTTATCACAAACATCAATGACGTCATAATCATGCTTTGTCTTTTTCTTACCTTTGTTCGTGAGTAACCATAGCAAGAGCTGCTTCCGGGAACTTGTAATAAATGGCATAATCAATGGCGCTCATGTCAAGATTGTTGTAGGTAAGGTTACATCCCATGGAAAGTAACAATGCAATTGAATTTGGTCTATTTTCCATTGTAGCCAGATGTAGTGGAGTATTCTGGAATAAGATATAACAAGGTATATGAAACGGGGAATCAAGTGACCTAGTTATCAGCAAGGAAAGTAATTATATGAAAACAATAGACGCGAAGCTGCAATTATTAATTTTTAAAACGTAAACTATAAGAGTTATAACTGTATTTTTTCTAGTTCTGACACACATGGATATCAGAATAAAACATATTCAAAATAACTGGTAAAAAGTTTACTTACTCCATCTTTGTCACTCTGGTTTAACAGGTGTGAATGTACTGAATGTAATAATTCAATAGTTTGCGTGTATCCGCTCATAGCAGCTAGGTGCAGTGGGTTACGACCGTTATGGTCTCTATGGATCAGTGCACCACGGTTCAAAAGCAACTGTACCACTTTAGTATGACCCTCCCGGGAGGAAATGTGCAGTGGTGTCAAACCTTCTCCATCGTTCTCGTTCATAATGCAGGTGCCTTTGTCTGAATCGAGAAGACGACAGGCTGTGTGGAAACGTCCATATCTGAAATATATCAAATCACACAGTCAGGATCTACAGAATAGTAAATAAGAGGATTCAGTGTGCCAAATTATTGTTTTAACCATCTTTAGTGGGATAAAGAGAACGACGATGGTCGTGATCATACTAGATTTACAGCCCCAGTATTATGGCAAACAAGAGGTGTGTACGGTAGTGTCAATATGTTGTAAAAGACCGTATTGCAGCATATTATCTTACACCATATTCATATTATCACATAGTCTCAGATAACTTTTACCTTGCAGCGAAATGAAGCGGGCTCTCATTCTTGTTATTTTTAGGGTTAATGCTAGCACCAAGTCTGATGAGATTTTCTGAAGATCTAATGTGACCCTCTCGGCTGGCATAGTGCAGCGGAGAGCAGCCGGTATTGTCCCTTTCGTTTAGCATTTCTATCAGGCCCTGTTCACAATGGTCCTGCAAAACGTATGTGATTTATACATTTAGTTCGCATTAAAACTTTGAATGTGATAAAGTTAGGTGTTCAATTCCTTTGCAATTTTAATTGCTAACGTATATTATTGTCCTGTAGTGCTCCAATAGAACCTAAAGCCGTGTTAATACAAATATGTACCTTGCAGCTAGCAGCAAAATCCTCGAGCCGTCCGCCGTTAAGCACGACAAGATGTAATAAATTCCTTGAATTCATATCTTTTAGCTTAATGTCAGCTCCCAAGCGGATCTGTAACGTAGTAACATTACTTTGTGGTATTTTAATTTTGAACAATTTTTTTTTTGTGTATAAACTTGTAATATTTAGGCAGGAGTAGTGGTCGCCCGCGTCTTCGTCTTCGACAAATATTTAAAACAATTGATTTTCGTTGTAGGCAACGCAAATACATCATGTTAGAAAAAAAAACTTTATTTTTCGATATGCTCCAACTGTATAATTATTATATATAAGTTAGTATAGAATAGATAAGACATCTTTTACTACAAACAAATATTTAAAAGCAATACTATCCAGAGAAATTACACGCTTACCAAAGTGTGAACTGTTCTCCAGCCAGCCCTAGAAGCAGCTAGCAATAAGGGTGATCGCCTCTCCTTGTCCAAGGGATTTATATCTGAGCCTTCAGATATTAAGTAGCTCACGATATCAGGATGATCAAACATAGCGGCGCAATGAATAGGTGTCATCATTTGCACATCGCACGAAATGAGACAGGCTTTTTTCTCTTTTGGCTGCATTTCAAACATCAATCGAATGATTTCTAAGGCGCCCTGGAAATATTCATTTGTGGATGTAAGATTTCAGTAGAGAAAAGCTTGGTATTAAAATTAACATTCTAAGTTTATTTCTGTATTACCTGCGCGCAAGCAAGATGCACTGGGGTCGATAGATCGTGTTGTTGCGTAGAAATCTTAGCTCCTGACCTAAGACAGAGCTCCACAGCTTTGATGTCACCACCATGCACGGCGGAATGCAATGGTACATTACCCTCGCTATCATATAGTGATATGATAGACTCTCTGCTGCATCCGTTAGACTCGCCCCATTGCAGGAATACCTCCATTGTCCTAGATGACGCATTCTTCGCGGCCTCATGGATCGGGTAATAGCCGTTGTTGCAAGAACGCTTCGAATTCGCGCCGAGGTCTGATATCTGTTTCAATAAGTTGACAGTTTTTATTGATATTTCTACAATTTTTCACTTCAAATAAATCTATACTTTATCTAGCAATGCAATGATTTTGAAATTTGTATGGTTTAATCGTCTAAACACGGTCCTTCAAGCAGTCGACAGCGGTGTTTAAATAGTAGACACTAAATAATATTGCCTACAGTGAGCCGACCGCTTTAAATGCAGATACTGTCCGTGTACAACTGCTCTTAGAATATAAAAAAATAACTGCTTAAACATATCATTAGATTGTCTAGGGCGACCCGACGGATACCGTTGCTACTATACCACGATATATTTTGTAGAATTTTAAGGACTGTCGTACCAAAATCCTGGCGCACTGGTCATGATCGTGGATGGCAGCGAAGTGTAGCGCCGTACGACCGTGTTCCCCGCCGAGGTCCACATTGATCACGTCTTTGTATTTCGCAAATAATTCCAAAACAGAGACCTGTGAATTTATTGATGATGTATCTTTTACACTTTATTTAATAAATTGAATTTTTATAGCCCTGACAGACTTAGAAAAAACGCTCAAAAGTTTTAGAAGAAAAGTAGTAAATTTAGCTTAGTTTGCTCATTTGTGTTATTTAATAAATTCATTATTAGTTACGTTACTGCAAAAAGGGAATGTTTTGGCTAATAATATGAAACAGAAAATATATACGTTACTCGAATTTGATTGTGGTTTTCTTTTGAACTTGGGAACGTAAATTTCTTTTGACATAATGATTACATACCCATTTACCGTTTAATTAGGACATTTTAATACAAGAAAACTTGTGTTAAACAAACAACAGAGGAGAAATTATTACGTAGACAGACGTATTTTTCATTTAAGTGTAATTTACTTACTAATGTCCACAATTTAAAAATAAACATGATAATTTTTTAAAACGAGTACAAATCATTTTACCTTATTCAATTCGGTTGCGAGATGAATTGGTGCCTGGGATTTTTCATTCAATACACCAGTATTTACTTTTCTGTAAAGGTATATACGTATTCAAGTAAAAAGTCAATTAGTTATTATAAAAAATCCTAAAACTAAAGTCTTTAATAATATAAGATGTCTTTTAGGATTCCAAGCAATGAGTAATCTAATATTTTAAATATTTGATCTCGTAAACAACGTAACATCGTCGTTCTTTTTCTGAGTCGAAATTTCTATTAAATATTCAGTGTTCCATTATAAAGGACAAAATATCATTACCACGAAACATTAAACGTATGCGAAACGATAAAAAGATTTCATGTTAAGCTTTAAAGGTTCTAATTATTTCTTTTGTGTAATTTGAGAATTTACTTTTAAGTTATAAAAGATAAATTATAACATTTATTTCGGCTAAGACATATTTTCGGTAAAGTAATTCGTGTTGCTACCAAGAGATAAGCCCACAGATTTTTGGATATTACAATACTTACTGTTGAAGTAGAAATTCGATGGCATCGAGGGCTTCGTTTTCCACAGCCACGTGAAGTGGTGTGTTACCAGCGTTGTCACGAGACCCCAAGTCTAAGCATATAATATGTTGTTATGAAAGCTATTGTAGTTGAGTAGGCATAAAAAGTGTCTAAAAGGAAACAAGTGTGTAGCAAATGTTATAAAACCGTGGAATTGCTATTATTTTCTTATAGGAGTTAGAGAAGTATAAAACGATTGGTAGTTGTATACCCTTTTGATTTTTGGATTTGTGTTAGAATGGTTTGCCTAAATATCAAATGTTTTGGGTCCAAACTAATATTATAAAGAAAAAATATTTCATTGTTTTTTTTTACATTAATTAGGCTCCTAAAATACTGAACTGATTTGACAAATCCTTTCACTGTTGGCAAGCTAATAAATAATACAATTGTAAATATGATAAAAAACGTTTTTGTGAGAAGAAAATAAAGCAAGTAGGTATAAAAAAATAAAATTTCTACGCAATTAACAAGTATATTAGTCTTACGTAATAGCTTTCTCCATAGATTTATGATAAGAATAACTATCAAGGCCTCAGAACAGGCCACGCTAAATCGGATTCAATTGAGGAGACAATATTAAGCCACCTGAGAATTTGGAAACACTTTGATACTCCATTTATTTTAATTATACATGCTTAATGTTATTCATATAAGTTCTTTCAAAACAAACGAAGTTATATTTAACGTGTTCTTTACTCTTCAGGTGTCTTAACTCGTCTTTCGAATTTTGGATTTTATAAAGGTAATATGATAGAGCTGTTGTCAAGGAGTAATTATGTTTTATGCTTGGCAAATGATGAGAAGAAAGTTTCGTGTCGCGTGCAACTAACTCTATGCATAAATAAATGCCGTAAGTTCCCGACACAGTTTTCCAATTATCTTTTTAATGTAACTTTAAAAGTATTTTTGTACAAAATAGTGAATTGAACTTATATAAGTCAATGTTATAAGTTCTAAATGTAATTATGAAAGACAAAACTGTCTCATGTAAGATAACAACAATGTTTTGGAATTTCCAAACTCGACTCTTTAATACCCATGTCACGAAATTGTGTATTGGTAACAAGGTCCAAATATATTTCTAATTTTGTATTTTCCGACTACACTGACTGATGTGAATAACCAAAGTGAAAGTTGAAAAGTGGCATCCTTAATATGAATAATTGACATACGAAAAGTTACGAAATAGAAAATAAAATACTTTACAATTTCAAAATACAATTTATTGTTGGTTCCTGAGACTAAACCACCGTATAAAACATATCATCTCTGTAAACATCTCTCATTCCTTTGACAAGAGATAACAATATGTTGTATACAGAGTTTTGATATTAGTAACCCACGATTAATCGTAGAAGTAAATTTTATCATATTAGTTTTTGAAAAGAATAAATGGAAATAATAATAATAATTAATAAAGCGTACTTACCACCACCGTAGTTGTTTATGAAGTGTAAGATGTTTGCATTGTTCTTGGCGGCGGCCTGGTGCGCGGCGGTGCGACCACGAGGATCGCGGAGGCTGAGTCGCGACGGGTCGTTGAGATATAGTCTCATAAAATCTTCCACATTGCCGCTTTCTGCCGCCTTTGTACAAAATATAAAATAACTTTAACAAACCGTCGATATGAACGACCTACAATAGTAGTTAATGAATCAATAAATTTATACAACTAGGAGAGAGACTACGGTTTGTTAGTCAGTTTCTTTTGAAATTTTTGCGGGGAAACTACTTTACTTGTTATGAAGATTTTGCTTGAATTATTGGTGTTTTGTTTTCTCTTAGGTTCGGGAATAGCAAAATTCACTAATAATGATTGTAGATTGATTTAATAAATTCCAGCTTGATACCTTCACGCATTTCTGAGAATAAGGGTCTTGACAGACAGACGGACCGAGAAAAAAGTGAGGATAAGGGTTCCGTTTTATTTCCTATGAGGTACGGAACCCTAAAAATGATACATTTGAAAAATACTAGTGACCTAAGTTAATTATAGACAAACATCTTTTAAAACGTTTCTATCTTTTACAATACCATACGAAAAATACGATCAAAGCTGTAACATTCTTTAAAGGATTTCACGTAATGGCTCCAATCCGTGGCCCATTAAGGACAAACATCTTGTGAATTCTACGGATCTTGCACAATTCTATATTCTCCGTATTGAACTTTGTAAAATGCTTAGCAAATAGTCAACTTGAACTAAACCAAACAAATCCATTAAAATGTAACCAGTAGCTATTTTAGTTCAAAATCTATCTATTTCTTAAGTAATTCAGATAGAATTGCGTGAAATTATTTACATTTGTGTGAGATTGGATTTTAAGTGAGAAGTAAATGGGTAATTTAATTATTAATTATCAATTTCATAAATTATATGTTATAAACCAGTAGGATGAACGAATGTGAAAATGAAAGGTTAGAAATATGTCAAGAACTTAACAAATAGTGATATTCCTGTACTGTAACCATTTAAACTTAAACGTTAAAAACATGTTAAAGTTTGAGGTGAAAATAATGAAATTTTTTGGTAGATTTATAAATTTCCAGAAATGCCGTGACATTAATATTGAGTGATATGTTTTTCACAGAGAAACCAAGATGTGAAAATAACTTTATTAAATCGAGGTAAGTTTTATTGTATTATCAGGTTAGAAAACAACTTTTGCTCTCCGTTGTGCTAAAAACTCAAATAGCATCTTGAAATCTAGATTTTTATGACTGTCCTTTTAAGTTCTATCTTGTAAAGGTTGTTAAAAAACGTTGATCATCATCATAGGACCTAGGCTATGGCTAAAGGTTCTAGATTTTTATTTATTTACAGAATTTATGCTTGTTATTTAGTAAATTACTTCGTCAATTGTATGGTACTTGATGTTAACTGTATGTCAAATAAAAACAAGGCCAGACAAGAAATAATTATTAATCCGATAAGCAAAAAGAAATTGTATATACACCTGTCGATATCAAGTTAATGGAGCTTTATCGCGAATGCTCCGTTTGACCCCAAATAACAATTAAGTGAATAATCATTTTGTTACTGTTACTACGCAACATCGGGCTAAAATATCTTGTCAACATCATGAATGGATGTTTGTTAGAGGATATCAAAGTCTTGTAGAACACTTAGACTACTTATTATTTTTTTTAATAGCACGGACGGAGTCGCGCGCGGTAGATAGTAAATAAATGAAATAGGAATAGATTAATGTTAAGCTGTCTATAATCTTATACCTCTACTATATCTTTGAATAGGCCAAGTTGGAATTATTAAAATTGGTATATTATTTTTGTAGAAATATTAATATGAGAGTGGAACTTTTAGATCAGTTTATTTATCTTAACATAAATCCATATTGTTAAATACATACATAAATTTAAGTAAGGGTAGTAACTTACACAGTTATAAGGCTTAACTATTGTAGCTTAGAATAGAGCAAAGTCGGGACAGCTTTGGCAAAGTTTCACGCAGATAAAGTGGGAGCTTAAAATATTTATTTAAAATGTTTGTCAAAGTTTAATTATGCACATATGTCCATCCTAATCCTGTTCTTACCCGTGTAATAAGCGTCAGACAGTCATATTAATTGCTTTTATAATTAAACTATCGGTTATATCGTATTCGTGAACCGCAAATTCACACATTAAAAGTTATTCATATTTACAAAATTAATCTATTTTACATATTTAATTGGTAAAATATATAACTTAATATATAGGAGTTTAACAACAGAACAAGGATGTTACATCCTGAGTCAAGTTGACGTGTTATTAGATATTACTACAATACTCGTGTCATTGCACGTGTATCTGAACGCTTACAGAAATTGACAAAAGTTGTTACTCCATTTGTAACAACACGGACATTAAAGTGACAAGGTTGTATTGCATACACGTGTGACAATATCCAATATACAATATGCTGCGCTGGAGGCCAATTCTATTCTACTTTACTTCTTCCTTTTCACTCGTATCTAATAAAGAAATAATGGGAATGAGAACGGGATTTGCAGTGGAGGTGATGTAGAAAAACGAGAAGTAACGTTTTTCTGCACATCTTCTCGGGTTTTTTTAAAGTTAGGTATCGCTCTCACTTATTCCTAACTTGGAGTAGTTATTGGACAAAGGTTACTTTTCAATTTTAGTGATATCAGCTGCTATCTCGTTTGCCAACTTTAATATAAAACGTATTTGTTACTATGTCAAAAAAAGAAATATGTTTTGATCAAAATAAAATTCACATTACATATTCAGTTAAATTATTCTTATTCAGTGGCTCGGAATCACGTCATCAGTGACGTAAATTTATGTTATCTTCATCCTGGTTTACCAATGATGCGCAAATATGATTTCATATACGATTTCTTAAGTTTGTAAGACAGGAAAGCAAGGTTCTTTCAAGGTTGAAAAAATATAATTTATACTATTAAAAGTTAGAGACAGATTGTTTTTTAATTTGTATATAGCATATCTGACACATGTCATACTTCTTGAAATCATAAATGTTCGTAATATTTCGACAGACACTTTTATTTTTTGTTATTTCATTGGTCTGATTGTCTCTGGTCTTTACTATTTTTAACTATAGGTTTTTCCTTAAGGTTGCTGGTGCTTGTTGTTGTCATGCAATGGAATTTTTCAACTCGACCAGTTTTTGAACCAAAAGCCGTCGCTTTTTTGGTATGCAGTTAAGTTTTTTTTTTAGTATGTGCTACTGATGAAGTATTTACCTATCAACAATGTAATTAGGTCGGAAATTTATCTTGGCAACCTAAATTAAAACTCTTATGGTTACTGTTTGTTGTATGATATTTAATCCTAAGTGGGAAGCGAATTTAATTCTTTAAGTACGATTATATTGTTATTAATCACTAATCTGTTAATGTATCTGGTGCCAAATTTTACCTTTATCTAGATAATTTTTTCGTATTTCGTAATGGGAAATTAAACATATTTTAAACATTTTAATATAATTTTAGAAGTCTACCCTCTTTACAGCCGTTATTATACGGCTGTGAGTTTTTTTAAAAATTAACATTTTACAAAAGAAACTCTTGCCAGTGAGCTTTGAAAGACCGGAACTCCATTAAACTAAAACAAGGTCATGAAACATTTTTATTCTGAACAGTTGAAATTATAACTACAAAATTATGTGTAATATAAAAATTTACAATACTTTGAAGTATTTTTATATAACAATTTACATTTTTATTAAAACAAATATCGGCTGATATACTCATAACTAGCTGAAATCGATATGTGTTGTAGTGTTGAAAAAAAAAGAGAAAAACCATTTTAAGCGTCCTGATAAGATTTTAGACTTTATTGATCCTAAAAAGTTGAATAAAGTATAATATTTTTATTGTAATTTCTAGTTCTTATGTTTAAAGTGAACCAAATTAAATTCATGATCGTACAACCTTTACTCGGTTCTTCCAGATAGATAATATAAAATTTGTGTGAATTTACATTTTATTAGAAATTATTTAGATAACACTTGTGGCGGTGTACATCCATTTAACTAGAAAACGAATGTCGCATGCAACTTTTAGAAAAGGTCGTTGGTATGCGCCATATAGAAACTTATGTTTACACTTTCTTTATATTTGTAGACAATCAAACGAAATACTAGGCAATTTATCTCTATGCTTTATTTTATCTAGAAAGAATATCACAGATTACTAACTTATAAAATAACTTTCTATTGGCGAATAATTTTTAAGAATACAATAGTACCGTATTTTACTTTAAGTAGAACAAACAAACTAATAAATTTTACAAAGAAGAAAACAATACCTATATTATTGGTATAAGTGTACTATAGTTTTTTATGAATATAAAAAAGAGTGAGAAATAACACTTCTTTATCGTCGCGTCGTTAATTATAATAGCTCAATGGTTATAATCTGATTTACAATTATACGGCAAAAGTTTGGGTCCTGCGTAATTTGAGCCAATGAATTTTTTTTAGGAATCATAAAAACAAAACGTGGTATTAAAGTTATCAATACTTAAAAAGCTTAATTTCTAATTTTATTAATCTGAATTGTTGTTTTACTATTATTAAAAAAATTCAAATACTACAAGCATATGTTTCTACCGAACTTAGAATTTTTAGCATACTTGGTTTCTTTTTTTTAGTCGTAAAAAATATTGTTCGACATTACCGCATCTTTTGTTCGGTATATAATATGAATAATGCAACATTAGTTATTATTTACTTACCTGCAATATCTCTTCGTAGTCACCTTTATTTACGTTCATGAGTCCAAACATTTTGGACCAATGCCGCGGTAGTTTTATACCGGCACTTTTGAAATGCTGTTTATTATACATGTGGTTGGATTTGTTGGACTAAGTTTAATTCAATTAATACAAAATTATTAAGTTTATAATTTGAAACGAAATGTTATTATACTAAAATAAACATTTTTATTGATAAGTATCTGAAAATTTGCTTCAAGTTAATCTCCGAAGTGACACGAGTGAACCGTGGATTAAGATGAAACCGAATTAACAGGTGTAGCCGCGTAGCTGTGACCGGCGCGTAACTCTCACTGCCGCTACGAGCTGCCGCCTCCCGTAGCACTTCTACGACGCAATGTCAAGTGTAACCGATCTCTTTTTACTATACGATATTTTGTTTCCAGATTATTCGTTAAGATCTTTGTAGTTTAATTAATTAAACAAGAACAAGAAAATTCTATAGTTGATTAGGTTTTCGGTTGTTTTTTTATTAATATACATTTTTATTCAAACTTCTTACACGTAAACCAGAAACTTGTGTCTCAAAAAGAATAAAATACGATAAAGCAGCAATGAAATGACCAATTCGAGAATGGTTTTTTTGTTAGGAATCGTACACAGGTTCTCGAGTCAATATTGCTAATCGTTATGTAAATGTAGCACATACTTTACAAGGAGTAATGCTCTGAACAGATATGCTTGAGGTCGCTCAACCTTTTATCTTAGCGAGAATGAAACTTCGTTTGAGTGTTTGTAAAAATTGCTTTTACCTAAACTTTGTATTATTCCTTGTCTAGATTTTTTTCATCGTCACTTGAAAATGTAGAATTACAGATACGGGCTTAGGTGCAGTCGCCTTCTGTTGCGGTATTCTTTTACTTAACAGAAAAATTTCTATGCTATGACCTTAAACTTTTTTCACACGCCACAAAACCAAGAGTTTTCAATGACTACTGAAAACTTCGTACTCACTTAATCTCTCGGAAACACTGAGTTTACAATATACTTAGTTACAGATGTTTCGATTGTAAAACCCCATGGGTTCGAAAAATGAAATAAAGCGCTGTTTTGATAATGTTATCACGCCAACGTTCATCATTAACCGATATTTTTATACACATTTAAAAGTGGCTTCCTTGAGGATTGTTAATTAGTGTTTTGTTTCAAGTTGTACAAAATGCTCCAACGATGAAATAATTACAAGAGGAATACCGTTAGGAGTTTTTTCTAACTTAGCATAATAAAGAATATATTTAACAACTTTTAAGTTCCGAAACCAAAGGAATTTTTAATCTTACATTATTTTTGCAAAAACAAAAAACATAATGATGTTGAAGGTAACATAAAACCAGCACTAAAGTTCTCTCAGTTTTGTGTACGTCGTATTAAAAAGTAGAAGCGAGACGTTGCATTCGATGCGTGCCGCACATTTAAAGCAGAGCTTTGCTCCCTGTTGTTAGCAACATCAACATAAAATGAATTAAAATTCGCCTTGCATCTTGATGACCGATGGCAGAGGAGACAGGGCTTGGATAAGAAACTTACCTTTTTTAAATTCTCTCTATAAACTTAACGTGAAATCTGTGAAATATTTAAGCGACCCTGCTACTCGAGTCGACGATAATTTTAGCCTTATAGCTTTGTTATTAATTGAAATTAAATTAAATTACTTTGAATGACTTAAGTTATTGTCTAAGCACATTCAAATAATAGTGCAACGTCATTAAGCAATTGGTTCAAGTTTGTTAACCCTATATTTACTACTAAAAATACAAGAGGCAAAAAATCTCGCATTTCAACCGGATAAAATTGGTGCATCTTCGTTGCTTAGCAACGCTCATAACTTTCGCCGCATTGTTCTGTATGCTGATTTTAGCGATACAACAATAAAAACAACATGTTCAAGCTAAACCTTTGTGTTTGTTTAGCATACAGTGCGCCTTTAATTATTTAATTATCTTTAAATTAGATATGTAAATAGGAATAGTTTTATAAAAACTAATCAGTATATCACCAGTTTTTTTTTTATATTTATTTGAATTCATTAGAATTTCAATGTAACTCTAAATACAAAGGTAAATATCATGGGATAATTCAAAATAAGAACATAAAGATATATAGTTGATTGTTGGCATTTTTCAATATCGTTCATTTGACTCTTTTGTCTCTTTTCAGAACTAATGACAATTGTTCAAGAGTAAATAAAAATACTAACCTCTTTTAATTTCGTCGGCGTAACTGGTATGTTTGGTAACGTATGTGCCCGTCGAAACAAAAACATATTAAAGCCAATGATATGCACATTCGCGTATAACGTTGCGTTAGTACTTAGTATAGTTTTAAATGTTCTCCCCTACGTTCGAGTGGTTTGACTTATCAGGTGATCACAATACAGCTTTAGTCCATTACGTCGACCAACAAGCTCACCGCTATCTTAATTCCCTTTATACTGAGGAATGGGATTTCATTGCATAGGAGTAGCGATTTTTAAGGTAAAATAAATTATTTTATTATAAAACAAAACTTTATATTTTAAAGAAATTATTGAGAAAGAACAGACAAGATGCTAATCTTTCCTGTTTTAGTACAAGAGCTATCTTGTTGAATACAATTTTTTCTTTAAATAAAATTTCGAAATCGAACAAGCTGTTTGAATGTGTTTACAGTTAAACTAGAATGGACATCATCAAATAAATTGCTGCGTCATGCTGACATATATGTTGGTCATGACATCCGATGACTTGATATACAATAAACTGTCCCGACTTTTGAGATATTTTTTTTCAATATCGAATATTATTGAAAAAAAGTTAATTTATTGAATAATTACATTCACACAACATACCAAATTAAAGAGGATAGTCGAACCAAAACTTTTTTTATTCTAATAATACATTGACCATTCAATTGCTGGACCAAGCCAAAGCACACATAAATCGCTTTAGGTCTCCAAAAAGAAGAATATTACATTAGTCTTTGGTTGAATAATGTAAATAACAAAGATTATTTTAAACTAAAATGTAATATTCGAATAAAATATAAAATCTCGCGTCAAGATTCCCCTGAACCTGGAAAAGTTCCAAAATCTCTGAATGTCCGTATAATTATATTACCAAGTTAATTTTTCCCTTGTGTCGTATTTTATGATCGCTTTGCATAAAACACACTACCTAACGTAAAAGTAGTTTTGCGGTTTTAAATTAAAAAGTAAAAGTTAAATTACTATGGTTAGACGATAATAAAATTAAAGCTCACTTTGTCGACTTTATGTGTTTATATGCATACAAAAACTGTTGCATAAGATTTAAGTTTTATATTCATATTCACACGAGTGTATATAAACTAGTACCTACTGTGGATGTCCTTAAAAAATGTGCAAAAAAAAACATATTGTTACCTTTTTTTCAGAGAGAATGAAGTAGTGGATATGTTTTTAAAGGAGAGATTCGGCAGTGGTAACACGCTGTAATCACTCGCACTTGATAAAAGAGAACTGACGTGGACACGTCATGCATATTTGCATCGCATTATGCAATAACACGTTGATAATCATTATACTTTAACTAAGATTAATCAAAGGAATTTGTACTATGGAGAGTTTCAAGTAAATAATTAATTCGTATCATCTCATTTCAAAAGGTGTATACATTTAACTAGCTGTCGCCCGCGACTCTATCCGCGTGGTATTAAAAGAAAACAAACTTAACGAGTAGCCCATGTGTTCTTTCAGACTATGTTCTACATCTATGCCAAATTTCAGCGAGATCCGTTGAGCCGTTCCGGAGATACCTTCGAGCAAACATCCGTCCATCCATCCATCTAAACATTCGCATTTATAATTTTAGTATGATTATGTTATTACTCCAATATTAGGAGCTCATCCTTGCTAATAGATAAACTACTAGATTAACTATCGATTGATAATAATGCTACAAATATAATATGGAAAAACATATAGCGAAGCATAAAACATAAATATTTTGACTTAATGTTTTGATACCGATTATTCAAACTGTAACTAATAAGTCAACAAGTGATATCGCTATCTAATATGTTACACTGTTATCTCTGGATAAAGTTATCCTATTCACGTTTATGTTAACTAGGCTATTCCCTAGTACATATTGTACCTATTAAGTTTATTTGTTGTATCGCACACAGTACTCAGATCTCTAATTTTCTATAGTTAAAAAGCATTGTTTTATAATTTTCATATTTAACTGAGGAATTAAAAAAAATACTCTCCAATTCCACTTAAGAAAGTTCGTTCTGAGACAACAACAGAGAGAAAAGCGTTGGTAGATTGTACCTTCTAGTGATTCGACCACATCATTCAGGTCGCACTCGAGCGGAATCGCACCTTTACTTTGTCCTTCTGTCTAAAGACTTTTTTCTATTATGTTTTTAGGGTTATTTCAAAGCTAGAGGAAAGTCTAATAATCAAATAATACTTACCCTCAGGATACGATACGGGCTTTCAGCGAGCAGACATATTTCTCCCACATTGGCGCAGTCCGGCCCTGGCAGCATACACTGAAGTTCACCACCGTGGTCATTGTTTTGCTTTGGCCGCCGCCCAGTCAGCCACTCAATCCAGCCCTGTATTACGACAGAAAATAAAATATTAGACATTTGAAAGGTAATAATAGTAAATGTAGTATCACCATGACAGTATTAGACATGGACTGTGAGAACTACTTTTTCAGGTAAAAACAAAGGAATGTTGTAGAGATATGCTGTGTCAATGTGATACAGGATATATTGTTATCTCTGCTTACATCTTTTTATTGAAGGTGGGAAAGATTTTATCTAATCACCTATATATGTCAATCATTGGTATAAATAACACTTGCAGATATTTGCTAACTTGTTATGAAACGTTATTATCTCAGACAAAGTAATCTTATATAAGTTTATAATAAGCTATGAATGTACTTATAACTTAGCTCAAAGTGTTAAGAAGAAATTAACAGATAGCATTAAATTCTGTATCCTAGTTATTTAATTATATTTGCAAAAAAACCCTTGAAGGTAGAAATTCTTATTTAAAATATAAATCACGTCATGACGTGTTACTTGTCAAAATTCTGGTGAAATTAGGAAAGACCATATGGACCACGTTTGCATTTACTTACACACGCATTATATATAAAATTATATAGGCATACGTATATTACACATGAATGCATTTACTACCAAAGTATCATCACGTATAAGCATAAGTAAATGACTCACTTACGCCTATACGATTTACATTCATTTTTATTTGCTAATAAGATCGACACTTTTTAAAAGAATTAACAGTTGTAATTTAAAAAAAAAACATTTATGTACACACATATTAATTGATAAATTGCTTACAAACCAAATTATTAAACATATGTTTGACACAGTTTGATTTGGGAATGGGCTTCTAATATACCAAATAACAACTTGATAGTCGCGTGTCACAACTTGTGATCTTTAATTAAACATTTGCTTGGCTTCAGGGAATAAGGCCAAAGCAACCGTAATCATCTCAATACAAACTAATTAATCTAAGAATCTGTTATATTTATTTTAATGTTTGCCTTATGTATATGTACGCTATTATATAATTATTATTAAAAATACAGATATGTTACTATGCAATCATTTTTCGTTGATCAATCAATCGACATATTGTAGCATGTAGATTATAAAACTTGAACTGACAAGACGTCACGCAATAAGAATAATATCTTTAATATCGGGGCCTTAAATTTTCATGTCCATTAACGTGATAATGAAAATAAAAGAAGGTTTTGATTAAGGGCGTTATAATGGAACTACAAAATAAAAAAATATTTTAATTACCCTTCTGAGTTAGAAGTAAAACAAAATAACTTAACCGGAGATTTGGGTGATATTTTTATCTTTATTACCTTGAAGTTACATAAAATAACATGTTATCAATAGCAAGTTTGTCTTACTTAATTGACCAAAGTTTATAAGGCGTAGTTAGGATATGGATGTCCCTCATGAAACATGAGTTAACGTCCTCGAGTTACTAACTTATTTCTCCCTTGTCATCCTTACTTATGTAATAATTTATTGTTACTTTCTAATTTTTTTTTTAATTTTTACAAACTCTTTCGGAATAAAAACAACGAAACCTATAAAAGTTTACTTATGATACCTACGTCTTTTATTTTTATGGCTTTTATTAGATTGCTCCCGAAAGTACGAAGCGAAATTGCTAGATAGGCAAATAATGTAAAGCTTTTAACAAAATGTACATGAATAAATTATTTGAGTCAACATGAATTCGTGATCCATTTTAGATTACCTTGTATGGTAAATATAATATTATAAATTATTATTTACCTATATTGATTATTTAAATATACTATTTTCTTTACTTTTGGAATCTTTGCTTAGTTGTCAAATTATATGATAGGTTTCTTTGAAAGTATTTACGAGATTACAAATCGTTCACCATTGTGTTTAAGAAGTAGCAACAGAGGATTCCATCATCCGAACATCATTTGATAAGTATCTTAAATATTGTACGAGTGCAACCAAATAATACATGAAGGTTGTACATAAAGCTTTTTGGAAAAAAAAGCTTACCCAAAGTCCTATTCGTGGTTGCTGAAGTGGTGTTGGTTGTGTATTGCTTATGTTAACGGCGACTTGAGTTGGTGCGACTTGCTCGATTACATTCATATCTGGTTCCTGGGGTGACGCTGACTGGACGGGCGCTGATGACACTATTGTACCCGCGTTGAATATCCACATTTTTCAACTAATAATAACATTAGAATCTGTAACAAATAATAAATTGTATATTGGATACGACATTAAGAGACACTGTAAACGGATGCCGATACCGAATGCTTGGAGATGTCCGTTAACTGCAGCCTTTAGTATAAGAGGTAATTATAAAGATGGTAAAACAACTTTAGAACCATTTCTCCAACCTTTTCAATCTTATAGAAAAATGATAAATTATTTTCTTTGATACTAGGGAGACTGATACAAGTTTAAATATAGTCTAAACCTACAGAAGCTGCTAGGGACGTGATTGCATATTGAAATAATACAATACAACGAATTAAGAAATACATCCAATCATTTGAAATATGCAATAGAAAAGATGTATTCAAAGGAACTTGTCAATTCAAGATTTTTTTATATATTTTTTCATTTAATTAATTTAAATTGATGTATTCATAAAACATCTTGTCCAATAACACAGAAGCCAAGTGCAACGCTCGTAATACTTTCAATATCAGCTTATGCTGAAGAGAAGCGAACAACCCAGCAATTGATCATTTCAAAAATTGCATATCTCGAAGAAACTTAAATCTTATTATACGTATCACTTGTTCGATTTCATTTTATACAAGCTTCACTACGTTTTGTGGAGACAAAAGTTTAACACCGAACTGTAAGTAAATATTACTAACAGTAAAGTCCCCACTGTTTTAACACACCTGACACCAAAAACGACCCTCTCGCTCATCACCAAAATTAAAAATCTGCGGTGAACCGGTTCACAGATAAGGTCAATTTGTACCTGAGCAGAGTTATGATTTGCGTTTTGAGTTGCAAACTGTTATACAGGAGGCAGCTAGAGGCTCGTCGACTCACATAGCGACAGTACATCGCGATGAGCTGTGAGTTGCCAATTTAGTTATTGAACCGCAGCTCAACGGTTTTTATCAGAAATATCAATAATTTTCAGAGGCCCTAGGCCTTCGTTAAACTTTCTTTTTTATTTATGTTGGCAACTAATAATATTGCAACGTAAATTTAAGCTTATAGAAATGAATAGAATACTTATAACAGCTCAGTATTTTCATCGTATTTCTAAAAGCAGTGACACACCGTGGTATTCATTGGTATGACAATATCGTGCAATGAAGAAATTATCTTTCGCCACCGACAATTTGCGAGTTAGAGCGCCAGGTATGGTAATCAATTTATGTAATTTTATGGTGACAGTATCAAGACAAGCATCGCTCATTGTGTTAATGGGACCACACCTTTGGCAAACTTTCAGCTTTGTGAATACTGCTAGTTTATTTCAACATGTGGATTTTATATGCAAACAAGCTTTAGAATTATTTTATAAATCCTTAGATGTTATACCAGTAACTGTACGAATATGCATATATGCTTCATGCACAACTTAGTAACGCTATAAAATAAAATTTGTTTCATTTGATATCAACGCAAAACAGAATGTGAGATCAAAGATGTTTTCTTTCTAAAGATAACATCTTATCCGCAATCGATATATGTAGGTTTGATGCAAATCTTAAATCATTAGGATTTTCAAGTTCTCTGTATTGTTATCGCATTTGAGATGAACGTACTTATCTAAAACATATTTTTGTGACACAAACGGTGAAATTTTAAGGATTTGACCAAATCTTGAATCTTTGTTATCGTCACCTTAAATCAACTGCGCCTTACGTCTTCTGTTGTCACTCACACTTCATTGCCAATCTTTTGTTACCAGAGGGCATACCATGAAGATTTGCGACACGAACATACGTAACGTTATTAAAAAATATGTAAAAATTAATTAAGTATTTGATGGTGTACTTTACGAATGCGTTTAATTTTAAATCCAATAAATCCGTTAAGTATTATTTTAATACAGATTTTATCGATGACATTATGAATATGTTCTCACGAATTTATGTGCTAGGCCCTTTATACTGAAAAAAAACAATGTCACTAATTCATGGAGGTTAAATGTTTTTAAATTGGTTTCTGGTTAGATTTTGACTAATGATTTGAATAGACTTTTTGCGAATTTTTACACTGGTGACCTTTATTTATTTGAAATTACTTTAGACCTATAATCCTGGTATTCAGCCCAAGTTATCTATAAGTATTGTCAATGCACGATAAATAGTAACCCAGTTTACATAGAATCGGTTATTTACATACTTTTGCTTCCAATGTCGATGACCGCTCGACATCTAAACTATTATCATTTATCTTCCGAAACAAATATTTCTTGAAACGATTGTCGCGCCTTGACAGGGAATTTACTCTTAACTTGACATGATTGACTTAAGATATGTAAGAAATATATCTCTAATTTGTACGAAAAGAAAACAATAACAATGAAATAACATTTCGTCTAAACATATTTTAAATAGGGGTTTTATGTCGTTTTTGTATCATTTTGTGTATTATAATGGAAAACTAGTTTCTTGTTTAGTAACATATCTATGTTAATAGAACGTAAACTATAAGATGGATGATGTAAATACATATTTGGGCGCTCAATTGTGTTTTTCATACAAACAATTTTAAATATATGTAGTTACAAAAATTAAAGAGGAATATAAACAGTTACAACTTAAGTTTTGGAATGTATTATTTACTTAGTATTTGTCTCACACATTACTTCCTATTTGTGGATCTACTCTCCAGCTTTTATTGCAATAACAGCTAAAGTCACCACAATACTTAACCTCGATAGAGACCCCCCATCTCACATGTAGTTATCAATAAAATTTTACATCATTACGACATTAGTTTTTAGTGCAATTGCATCTAATGTACTCAAAGTTTTTTATTACATCATGTTTTCAATTTAACTGAAATTATGTCCATTTCTATATATATGCTGTTTGCAATAGCGATTTTAATACAATAGTTAAATGCC